CAGTGGTGTAGTTTCTCAGGGGCAAACCTTTTTAGCCTTGTTCAATATCCATTCATTTTTTTTCAGTGGGGCACTTGCCCCCCCCCCCCATCCTCCATAGCTACGCCTTAGAATGGGATATGGAAATACTTCAAATAAATCCACTACTGACTTGTCTTGACAAGATAAGATATTTATGCGAACAAGGGTGCACCTGGAAATGGCTTGTATCAAGACTACTGTCCTTGCAATTTTTAGTTGGGGCTCCCATCAAATTAGCGTAATAAAGAATGGAAAACTAAATTAAAATGAGGAGAAACTAAAATAACAAATACGTCAATTATTTTCACACAGCAGGTGACATTTAAATAAGCAATACGTATAACCATGCATCATGTACATTTTAAAATGACAAGTTCATAAATTGTATTGCAGCATCTGAGTTGCATAATACTCACATCTTGGTACCAGCAATAACCAAAAACATTACAATTAATGTCAGCAAATTAATGTCAGCAAATCTGTAACTATTTCTTGCTTTGTTGCATCTGCTATTTCGTTGGGTATTCCATGATGGTTGAATTAGTATAATTGGGCTGTGTCAGATGTAGTTGGCTATGGCTAGAGATAGTGCATGCTTCTATGGAAGCCACTAGCAGAGCGGCTGCAACCACTTCCCATAGCTTTACACATTGTTATTAGCCGCAAATTGCAAAAAGGTGTACGAGTGGTTCACACTGCATTCTTCACTTGTGCAGAGAAACCAAGCCGAAATATGCTCCAAATTCTAGCATTAACATTGGCAGTAGTGCACAAGGCCTTTTAGTCTCTCCTATCAATTTTTTGGTCAGTGACTACAATCATCATATCGTACAGAGAATTGGAGGCTACAGAGGATGACGGGGATACATGTATATGCATGCATGAAATATATATGTGCATTGACGTTTTTGGTCGGCCTTTAAGATGTTGGTTTGGTCAGTCCTTAAGACCGGATCAGGAGAGTGGGTGTTAATAATGGCCCGAGCAACAAATCATAGATACTCCGAGTCCATTCTACTTAGCCAGTCATCATCATTCATTCAAGACCGGTCAAACACATAGGCCTATTTATTCCTGTTCATAAATATCTTTTGAATTAACAAGTCTAAACAAGTTGTAAAAAGGATAAATTGTCCCCAATTTTCTTCAAAAGTTTTACTCTACTCTTCTCAAACACCTCTCCAGTCACGCTATGGCAAATTCCTCTCACAATATCATTGTAAACAATCTCTTTAAATAGAGATGGGTGTCATGTGATAGGTTTTTGACCAAGAGGAATGGCTAAACTGTCTTAGGTATTTATGATTGCTTACTAATATACATATCGTGCGAGGGTGCATGTCATTGTAACCACAGAAAACATTGGGTTTAAGAAATAGGACTCTTTATTCAACTCACAATTTTGTTTTTGGTTCAAATTTCATGAGCAAAGTTGTCACCTCAATTTATAAATGAATGCAAAACAGTTAAGATTAGAATAATGATTTCAATCACAGTCAATAAATATGCAGACGCCTTAAATGTTGTACCTGAATTTATTGAGTACAAACAAGCTCAGCTCCAACAAATCTTTCACCTCCAATGAGACGATGTCTTCAATGTGACTCAAGTTCTCACACCTTTGGTTTGCTGATATCCAAATTTCGCTCAAGTCATCAGCAAAACTTAGAAACTCTGGTAAACTGCGCTGACCTCCCACAGAAGACATAAAACCCCACAAATCCTGGTCCTCTGGGAAGGGCTCAGGTCACATTGTCATGTCCGCAAAATCACCATGGTAACAAGACCTATGACAGAACAAACAGCACAGTTACAAGAACGGTGCATTACAGTGAGCAAGGATCAGTCTAGTTGTTGGTGTTGTGTCACTGTAACCTCACCTAAAACATATGCTGCTATAAGTTTCTGGTTGACGGTCAGATGGAGGTACAATGGAAGACTGGAGCCGGCCTCTCCCTGCATTGGTAATAGCAGAGCTACGACACAAACTAAAGCTAGTAGTACAACTGTTGGCCCAGGAGTCACTTGTCGTTGCCTAGCAACTGTAGCATGAACGAAGAGAAAAATTTACTGGAAAAGATGCCATTCTATGGAGAGGAAGAGATTGATTTTGTTGTCACTGTATATGTTCTCATGTTCTTGTTAAGCATTGCTTCTAGCTTGGTTTGAGGCTAACATGGCCCTCAACCTTTGTAACTTTCCATTTGCTCCTTGGTAGGTTATTGTACCATAAACCTAAGACCAAGCAGTCTCCTTACCAGCAGTAAATGGCATATTAGTAGAGCCTTCTCCTGGTGTGGACGACAGCTCATCTGATTCTTTTTCTCGTCCCTGAGATGTAGGTAGAAGGATGGTGGGTATGTCCTTGCTTCCGATGGCATCGCGTCGACCATGCTCATAGATATTCAGCCGAAACTTGTCCCTCACACCATAGGAGGACTCCTTGATTTCTTTGTGCCGGATTACACTGGGAATGATTGAATTAGGACGATCATACTTAAAGACCACATTCACTTTAGCGTTACTGTTATTCCTAGCATCTCACCTCACCAACAAAAAGTTCAAGAACGACGAGGATTACATGCTAAGCAAGGTTTACTTCCCCCGAGGTTCTACAAAGGAGCCTCATTACTAATGATTGCTAAGATAACATTACAGTAACCTATCCTGCTTAGGAACAATAGCATTCTCTGTCCCATCCCCCTCCTCAAAGCAGAACTTCAGAAATTGAAATTGAATGTTTTGTTGCTGACTTACACATCCACACAGCAACCTGGTCTGACTGTACCCTCTGAATCCACCACGGCATATTTGCGACGTGTTGTGCATAACACTGCAACGTAGGAAAAGGTATACAGAGTCATATCTAACCATAGATCCAACTTTTACTGGGATTAATACGTACTTGAACAAACAAAACTGGTTATTGCTCTATAAGTAACTTAATACATGTACCATATTGTCTTTTCCTGGGGCCATGGTTAAAGGCAAATACACTTGTGGCAAATGATCCTGCTCAGGGACATTTGTAGTTCATTCCTCGTTACTTCTCTTATTGTTGCTGCAAATGTCCCATCTTGCTTACCCTTGAATTTCAGTGTGAAGTCATAGGGATTGTATACGGTCAGCACCTGCTTGTGAGAACTCCGATCATCTGCATAGTACACCAGCTCTGTTGGGAATACAAAGACTGGTAGTTTACCATCCACCAAGCGAGGGCGCCTATCAAGCTGCATAGAGGTTGGCAAGATCGGCTCTGATGAAACTGAAATCCAGTAAAACCTGTGGCAAGATAAGAGGTTTAAAAACAGTTAGTCAGCATCATTTATGCTTATTTGTTTCAAGAAATCCACTGTCATTTCCATTAACAATGACAGTGTTTCTTGTAGTTAAAGTTGGGGCTAAATTTCATGAAGATCTATAAATAACTCAAAAAAGGCAGAAATGAATACACGTACAGTTAGCCATAACAGATGTAAATGAGCTACAGGAAAGGTCAATGTCCTAGAACTAACATCTTGATTTATAATGAAATTCTATTTTTTTGGATGTCTACACCTAGTTGCCTGAATCTTGGAGAATTCAAACTTTGTCACATGATTATTATGACTGAGGCAAACAAACTGGTAAGGGTCTCTGATGAGTTAATCTTGCAAGGCTACAGAACTTTACAATTCCAAATTCTGTACCTTCACAATCAATTACACTTCAACAGGTACATCAGGTACTTTTATCAAAGATAATAAACCTATAATCCCAGGTCTCATAGGCAACACTTTGTTATGCACCACTAGATGGTAGCCATGGCCCACTGCATGGCCCACTGCATGGCCCACTGCGAATTACAAAATGACAAACTTACAATATCCTTAGAAACAACGCAAACATCTGACACAATCAAGCACTGTGTGCATGTACATATAGCGGTCAGGTGCATAGCACTCTTATAGTCATGTTTATGCTGAATCGTAACATACATAACTACAATTCTAGAGCATCATGTAACCTCAGTCTCCATACACCGAAACACAGGACATCTGCTTACCAAAATAACATTAAATTCTCTGGTCCTAAAATATGCTGGTTCTAAAGGAATTCTGATCCTAAAGGAATTCCTCACCTCTGTCTCTCAAAAGAATAAGCTCATGCAACAGTTTTAAATACAAAGTTGCACTTTTTGTAAATATCATACCTTCAAATATATCTTGTATATTGATTTTTCCCATTTCCCTAATTTCACATCATGTTTTTACATTTGCAACTTCTACATACTTTCTACTGTAACTCACGTTTCCTAATATGTATTCGATTTTGTTCTCGTCTTTGTTTTGTTTTGTAGCATGAACTACGTGCTTTATTATTGTTTGTAGTATTGTAGAATGGCAGGCCTTACGCAAACTTTTGTTTTTTAGGTCTTGCCTCCTTTCCTAAACTCAATATTCTTATCTTTATATTTGTATAACTACTGTAAATTATAACGAGATGAGGAAATAATATTAATAAATTTAAAAGAAAATTAAATACATAAAAAAGGTCATAAAAATAGCCTCACAAAGTCAGCTGGTAGACAGGCCTACTTCCTAATAATTGACCAACTTTAAGCCATTTTCACTGTTTCCTGGTTTATGGTCTCAGGCTATGCTATGACCATGGTAACATTTCACATGGTTTTGTTAATCGACCATAGGTTTAAATCAAAGTTCAAGTGACACAGGCCTACATGCAAGACATGGCATCTATAATTCACATGTACATCGTCATCAGCTGCTTATGATCACAGGTCACACTTCGATCGATATAATTCTTGTCAATTCAAAATTCCCCAAACCTTTTCCAATTCAAACTGCTTACCAAATCTCATAGAGAAAACTGCTTCTGACAGACAATATCCACCGTCATTATGTGACGATCTAAACAAACTACAATCCAATTTAAATGCACGTAGACAGAACAAAGCTAGTTTACGCCAGACAATGTCAACGACGATTTTTGTGTATCGTCCTTCGCGTAGGCCCCACGTACATGTACTGTATGTAGTTTGTACGTAAACAAAACTTGTCATGGGATGGTCGATGTAAAGGGCGCCCTCGTTTGATATTCGACGGTCTTGTATGTCACGTCAGCTGGGGGGGTTACGTTACCAGAAATAATTTTAAAATATACCTTTTAACCGGCAATTATATTCACATTTTTATGCAAAATTCCATGATTAGTTCTTTTCTATTTCGCATCTACATGCATAACTGTATCAAAACAACGATTAATTTCATGTAGTCTTGACCTCCACTAAAAACTAGTAAAGTTTTATAAACGACTACCACGCAGAGTAAAAATATTTTTTTGTTTAATTTTTGTTTATAACAAGGGCCTGACCTAAATATCATGTTTGGATGAATTAAGAGCTAAAAGTTTAAAGTTGTGATGTGCTAAGGTGTTCCCTTAGATGTGACCGTGTTTTAGATAATTCAGGAAAAAATTTTTTCCAAACGTCAAATCATGATTAAGAGTAGCCAATAATAATTGTAGGTCACTCGTTTTCCTTCTTATTTCATCCTTCCCTTCTTCCAATCAACCTCTCTGAGAGGACACATCTGCTTTGAGTTGCCGCTCGCTAATTTGTTCACCGGAAGTTCACACTCTCCGTGCTGAAATTGTAAGACAAGAACCATACTACACCCATCTTGCATGCTGTTAAAACAATTATGAACTCAACAAGCACGCGCTTAGGTTCAATGTGCAAGCTCAGCACAGGGCTTAAAAACTCGGTCTGACGTAAAAAGGACATCTTGTTCTCATCCATAAACGAAGGGCCTCCGCTTGGATACCCCTGTGTCCGGTTTTCTGGAGCCAGTCTGTCGCTCTAGGTCTGACTCTGACAATTAAGTCTGGAACTCTTAATTTTACTGGTAGAAATACTTCAGGATCTTTGGTCCCGCAAATGTTGATGATGTGTAAAGTAAGATAACACGTTGTTGAAGGTTTACGGTCAAGAGACAACTTGAAGTTTTCAACGACTACTCTACGCCAGTCACGGTTGTAGGCCGGACTATATCAACTGAGACCATGCACAGGACCAGACACAAGACCATGCACAAGACCGGTCACGAATAACAGGGTGAACAATGACCAAAAAATGCTTTTGCTGCACTTCCGATAGCTTGTGACTTGAATTCAGACTGGCGGGTCTTCAAGTTGTGTCGGCCTTGTGAAGGTGTCCTTAGTGGTCTCGACTTCAATACTGCTCTACGCCGTAACGATGAGTTAGGTCTTAAATAAAGTAGAGGGTCCGTGACTAAATACAAATAAAAGGACTGACTGACTCTTGGGACTGCTGCAAACGTCCCGGACTGAAATATTGCATCATGATTGATCTTTTTATTGTGCCAAGAATGAAACAAAAGTACTTACCGATACGATCCAGATCACCTAACCTTCTCAACCCCTAGCTCTTGTTTGACTATCCACACCTCGGTAAACCTGGACCAAATTGCATCCGTCCGTCATCGACTGAAACGACAAAATTTGCAAAAATAAGAATTCATGAATGCAGCCTGACTCAAGTTCCCGCCTTCCCTATTCCATGCCTCGAGGTTCAAGTTCTCGCAGGAGTTTAGGATGAAAAAAAAAAGAACTCTTTTTTCTCCCATTGTTTTAATCACCAGAAAGTGTTGATAACTGTCTTGTTTTCTGATCAAAATATATTAAGAGATATCACCTGTGTTTTTATACTGGTATCTCTCGACTTGAAATTAATTATATGGCCTACCGTTATTTGGTGTAGTTCTCATCGTCTGCTTTTTGCTACGTGGATGCAATTCGTGTCTGCATTCTAATAATGATTCAGATTTTACTCAGCCAAATTGCGGAAATGAGAGCCTAAACCAAAATCCGCGAGATTGACGTTACATAGCGTATTCGTACAGCTTGTTTATGATTAATTTGTAAAGAATGCGCTCTTAAGATAGAGAACTTCACAGAGCAAGGGAATGTAATGTCATGTACATGTACTTAAACGTCCTGGAGTGGAGACTAGAAAGTCCTGGCACGGTGTGCGCATTGACTAGTGAACTTTGACCTTCAGTAAAGGGAACTTGGGACAAAAATCAGAAGACGGACGGGCTGGTTTCGCTCAAGTTTACTTCCGCATTTTACCGCATTACTAACCTGGAGTTAGTTTATATGTGGCAGCCGAGTAGGCCACGTCGTGCACTCGCTCAGGATTAGGCCTCGGTGACTAACTCTTCTGATGAAGTGTTTTGACGAGCTTTTCAAACACACGGACAATGATGACAATTACGCTCACTAAACGAAAGTCGCGCTTAATCTGAATCACGGGTCGCTGTTGAAAACTACCTCGACGTTAGAGGAGCAGATTGCTGTCTAAATAGCTGTCGAACCGTCTGTAGGTAAGTCAGAATACTGAATATTAATTAGTTAATAATAAATCCTGGTGCTGGTTTTATACTTGAACCATTTACAATCTAGGAATGTTTGTACATGCATGTACCATGTACATACAATGACTACCCCGCGCCATATTTTCCCGAGGTTCCACTGCATACCACACAGCCAAGGCCATAGGATCACGAGGGGGCAGAGTTACATGAGGACTCAGTGTTATTGCCTCAAGCCATTCTGCTTACATTGCAAAACTTGCGTGCCCCAACATGTACGTGTACATGTAAATGTACTTAGCGATAGCACACCAGTCGCCTTTTCTTCGAGTTGGCCCTAGGCCTATTACAATCGAGTTCTCGTGGAAAGGGCAAGTAGGTCTAGATTGTTGGCAGTGTTCATGCGAATTTCTTTTTCATTTTGATTGAAGCTTGCTACTCATTTGGTTGTTGATTCATGGCAATCGTAACACGGATATCCTGTGAACTACCCAAGCCTGACGAGTAGGCACAGCATGCAGCTTTAATTTCATAAACATGAATTAAACATATGATATGATGTGAACAATATCAAGGTATCGAGGTTCACTAGATTTTGGTGTGCATTTCTTGGTAAAATATTCACAAGGATAGTTCACCCTTGTTAGAAATAAAATTTTGCAACTTAAACTGTAAATCTTCGATATCATGAAGATGACCATAGTATGTCCATTCTTAAAACGTTAGGTTTTGATAAGTTATCCTTTTGTGACATTGAAAACGTAATATTCATTAGGCCCCATTTTGCATTTTGCTTTTATATCAACTCCAATTCTATAAAATGTTTCTTTGCAATTACATACTGCCTTTTGTGTTGGTCAGTTTTTGCAAAGATTGTTGAGTCCTTCAAACATCCACGAGAAAATGGACTCCTACTGCAGGACCTTATATGACTTGGAGGAGAAAACAAATTGGTAACTTTCAAGCTTTTACTGAATTGGAACCCCTCACCTGACCCCCTGAGGCTTTGTCATCACCATTCACAAAGTTAAAAATTCTTGAGAGCATTGTTGAGAGTCAGTCATTTTACTCAGTGGACTATCAGTGTACACTTTTTGCACAGGCAGCTGCGATAGCCTGAAACTAAAGTGGATAGTTGTTTCATAGGTAGATCATTGTATGCGCCTCAGAACACGTGGACCCCATTTTCAACCGATACATCTCCACTTTAACGGATCACCATTTCGGTGTCAAAGATAAGGACCTGGAAAGCGTTCATGTTCAGCATTTTTGTCTTCACCCCTCGGCATGAGGGAGTGATTTCCTCCATTATTTATGGTACCTGCTCACACAGGAAGCTGACATTTCGACCAGCCCAGCCGAGGTTCATTCTGTGGCAAATTATCTGTCTCACCTCAATGGTGTTATGAACAATGTACACGACTGGCGTTTAACTAGTCATAGCAATCACGTTTGGTTTGAACAAAAGAAAAAGCACGGGTATACTGTATGTGTATTCACTGTTACCCAGCGTGAAAAATTTTGACTTTTTTTTTCGGAATAACCGTCGCTAGTTCTTTCACACAGTATCTGAGTCGTAATTTTAATGACTTGACTTTACAGTCAACCAGTGTCCATGTTATTTTGTTTATAAAGACATGTCAGCCCCACGCATATTTCACTTGCCGCACGGACGACATCAAGAGTCTTATGTTTATTTTTGATTTCACATACTGTATAATCACTGCATGGAGAAACTGACGTGTTAAGCGACAGAGGTGATAAAAGGTCACTCTCCTAAAGCTACGCTGCCGGGAATAGAAGTATTACTGCACTCCATTGCTATAAGAACAGATACAGGTATTTGTAAGTGATTGTCAATGTAAGTTATCCATAGGAAAACAGATAGTCCCTAAGCCACTCTCACAAAACTTTACAATGTCCACGAACACATTAAAGCAAGCTCACTTTACAAACGACAATAACATTGAAAACCCCACATGGCATAGGATCGTGGACACATGGGGAATTGGACATGGATTTTTCTAAAGGATTGTAATTCAGGGTTTTTTGTTGGGGGCATGTTTGGGTGTAGATCGGAAAGAAAAGTCTGTGTACATAGATTTTTACTGAAGTCATTTAATGATTTCTTAATCATATCCGTTTGATAATGTGTTACTGCCGATGCTTTATGTTACCGAATCAAACCATTTCCTTATAATGTCGACCCTCCCTCCCCATGGGGCCATGTATGCGAATTTGATTAGTTTCATTCGGCTTATCTTTTGTCTTTGGGTATTCTCTGTTATACTATTTCCATCGTCCTCACCCACTGCAGTCGATTTGATCTTGTCCTTGATTCCCTCGCCTTTCACTCATGGATTCGTTATTGCTTGATTTCCGTTTCATGTCTTATACTGAGTTTGCCAGCCTCCTGTGAACTTCAAACTCTTTCCATGCGAATTTCTTACCAATTTCCTGCTCAACTTGCGTTGCGTCACATTTGTGTGCGAGTATTCATCAGCTTTGTAACCTTTCTTATGGTTTAATTTCCATTCAACGCTTGCTCTTTTACGAAAGCCGTTGGAATGCACCTCGCATTGCCCACAATGATTATTCCTTATCAACTTCGGCCATTACCGCAGAGGCGCTATATAGGCCTACCAAACTGCAGTTACATGTACATTCAATTCGAAGTACACCCTTTCGCAATATCGCGAAGTTTTTCAAATTTGAAGAGAGAGAGAGAGGGGGGAGGAGAAAGAAACCTGTGCAAAGTATGAGCCAATGTCGATGGGCTTCCCTGCCCTAACAATATAGAAGATACTAGGAACCCTAGCCCAGGCAGTTATGGACTTCAGGTCAGTTGAAAGGTTTCAATCCTTTACGGCTACTGCTTAAATAACCAGCGAATTAATTAACGGATGGACGGACCCTGCTGGAGTAGGTAAAGGGAGCAGCCCAATACCGACCAAGGAAGTTAATTAATTTCGTTAACAGGTAAAAATACGCACACACAGTCTGCTGAATTTTGGGTTGAAATGTAACTGTAACTTACTAACCTTAAGTTGTAAACAGTTGATTACTAATTGATTTAATTCCTTGAATGTATCCAGTGTGAATACCGTGGAAAGAAGTTTACTCTTGATATGAAGCACTCTAGAATCCTGAGAGTAAGGAATGACGTTACTCATGTCACACGTCTGATTGTATGATGCCAGTTTAACTTGAGATCAGTTTGTAAGGCTAAACAATGTAAAGCATTTTTCAATTACATGTAAGGTGCGGGTTGGATAAATTACATCTATTCACGATATATTTACCAGTGTCGTAATCTGTGACCATGTACTGACAGAAGTCTTACATTTTTGGTCCAATATGTCTCATGTAAGAAACTGAAACTACTTTTTAAAATGACCGTTGAAGTTCACTTCAGTTGTTGATTGAATGGTTCATTTCACATAACAGGTTTCTTTGAACTGAACCAGTTGCACAATTATTCATGTTCATCTTTGTTAGCGTTCTATCATACTTCCAAATTTGATAGTAAACACAGCATGATATGCCTTAAATTGTGTATTCCTCCTTCCCCCTTGAAGATGAAGCTGATAGTAATACCTCGAAGCGTTTCATTCACAGGAAGGACATATGTCTTAATGAGCAAAAGTCTTTACAAGTTGCTTGAAGTATCAATAACTTGAAAGTTATGATGTGTCCCCTCTACTTTGATCAATAAGCAGTTGTAAAATTAGGAATCCTTTCTTTTTTCTTCACTCGTGCTTAACTACTTAAGAATCATCTCCTGAGGCCGCGAAATCAGCTGACCTTGTTCATTGCCATGGTGATGACCTACTTCTGTCAAAATACCAGCGCGGGTTCTTCCTGCCCCTGGCTCCTGCACACACTCGTATCGTACGCGTACCCTGCGTGCTTTTTTTTCTTGGTAGCTCCAAGTCAACCCGCCCTCTCTTGGCGATGACTGGACATCTCTGGGGGATCGGCCGAGCGAGCACCCTGACAGCGACTTTTAATGATTTGCGAATGCTGCCAGGCATTTGTGGAGCACTTTTCCGTTTCCTTGATTCGATTAGGTCCAATTACTTTTAAAGGGTAGCTCTTTTGGAGAACAATGGCGGCCAGTATTTGAAGCAGTCCACGTGCCTTCTTGATTTGTGTTCAAGATGCAGAACTTTCCATTCTTGCACATTAAGCAAAATATTTTGCAGTCAGTTTATTCAGAAGCAAAACTTGTTTTTAGGGTTTGTTCATAACCTTGAACCTCTGCTTGTTTCAAAGGGTTTAATATATTTGCGAAGTTTACCAAAAGAAGCGGACTTCTCGGAAGGATCTTTAACAGTCAAATCAATTAATATGTCCTTATTTTTCTTGCCCATTAATTAACGTGTTAGTGCTCAAATAGGAAAAGTAATTAGAAGTTGACGCCCGAAGGTCAGTCTGCACAATTTGCATTGAGGTATTCTAGTAGGTCAAAAGGAAGGCAATTCGTTAAGCCAGACGGACGTTTGGTAACAAACTGTGCCTCGAGGGTCATTTCAATTTTCCCCTTACCTTTTCTTTTCAACCCGTGGATAGAAGGAGCATGGAGGAGGAAGGAGCTAGGACTCAAGACCAGTGGGACCGTGGGACGGGTTACAGGCTGACCTGCCTTACCATGAGGACACAACCACTTTATACTGACAGAGGTTCTTAACCTTCTTATCATCTGTACAAAGACTGATCATTGCTCTACCTGTGTTGGTCGCTTTCAAAATCGAATATTCTGTATATCCCAAGCGTGTAGACACCGTATGTATTCGCTAGTGATGTACAGAATAGCACATCGTGAACAGTGGGAGTACATTGGACGAGTTTTCACTTCCCTTATGCTCAAGTACACGTGTCAATTGCATAACGTGTTTGGTTTTAATTAAACAAGACAAAGGACATTCTGTAGCGTTATGATTTGTCGATCTTTATGCTTGATCAGTTTCGTTTAAGTTGGCTAAATTACCATGAATGAAATGGCACTCAGACTGCTTTAATGCATTCACGACGTAAGATCAATTAAGGTTTTAGATTATTACTCATCAACCATGGGTGACAAACTTCAGAAGTCGTGGGTACTCATTTTTGTAGCATGATATTCAACTCAGCTCATGCAGTGTTACTTGAAATTTGGGGGTTTGTCTAGCTTTGTGTGTACATATGTGCATAATGTACACAGTATAACACCTACATTGGCTTAATATGAGAGAAAACGTCAACTATTCCCAACTGGAGGATGATATTCACACCTTGTAACCCTTGAGGAAACTCCTAGACGACACTGGCATGAGTCCAACCGCCAGGAGACTCTCGTCGCGTCGCGTTTCTCTTCCTTCCCGGCCAAGCCATTTTTGCCAGCAGTAGGCCTACAGACATTCTAAAACGCATGGGAATTCTTAAGTTTGTCTTACTCGTTTTCCTATACATGAGTCAAAGCTTCCCATTGGACATACTATCTGAATACTGGAGGGTGGTCTCGGAGATGGAACATCCTGTGTGACACCTTGAAAAAGTTAAAAAGTACATGAAGATGTTGTTCGATCTACGTAAATGACTCGGACCAATTATTAACCGGAAAAGGAAAACTCAAGCATAGTGAAAAACAAAGAATGGTTTATATAAGACTGCTTGTGTGTCATGGTTATGTTGGACGAAGTTCTTGTTGTACGAAGACGCGTGTGTCATGTGGGAGGTTTTGGTCCTGTGAGTAAAACCATGAGATATCCTGTTTGAAATTGACTGCAATTGAAAGAACATCTGCAAGGCTTGCTGGCGGATGAAAGGAGGAGGAATAGAATCTGAAATTGGAAATCCGAACTTAGTTGGAGTAGTCTGGTAACCTGACTTCTACGAGTGAGTGAATCATGCTATGGCATGGGAGGGAAGAGCGGATTAGTCACTCACGGCCCTGTACGCTATGAGCGCAAGGATAACCGACTAATTAGCCGGATATCCGCTGAATTAGTCAATAAATCCATTTACATTTCACTCAATTTGGTGGGATGTCGGAGCCACTTACAAAAGTGGCGTCCAGTGCACTTTGGTGTGTCTGTAATTGCCAAGATTGTCAAATCTGTCCCAAGAGGTTTAATATCAAGCTCCCTTCCAAGTTAACCAACATAATTTTGTTTGTTGAGAACAAATATTATTAAAACGATGCAGGGAATTGGTGGAATGTACCCGAATCTTTCATTGCAATTTGCATGGGAAAATAGATCAAACTTAGCTTTTGATACAACAAGCAGAAATGTGTGTACTTGCCACGTGCTAACGTATACTGTTGATGGACCATGAGTAGACCTGGGGTTGAAGGATTGAATCAGTACTCGGGATCTTGTCCGTCAACGCCATGTTTGGTGATAAGCGCCATTCGCCAATGGATGGGTTAGAGCTCAGTGGACACACGACAGGACAGTTTCTGGTAGCCACCTTTTCATATAAGTTAAAGTCTGACACAAATTTGATGCGAGTAAAGTTGAAGCAAATTTTGTAAACATTCATTCCAAAATAACTGAATTAAGTGGACTGAAACAGACGTCTCGCGCAACAATCATAACCACCGTTCTAATGGATGGACTTGACTCGATATGCATCAATTCCGCATGCACCTATCAAAGTAATTAGAAAATGGAAAACCAGCTTGAACTTCGCCATACAAGGTTTAAGCAACATAAACATGCCGTGACCGTTCACTGAGCTCTTGCAAGATGATTTCATGATGACCTCATAAACCAGAGCCCTACCCTCTACCCGAGACACTCTGGCTGTACAGCAGGAGGATGCAACGGAGCAGAAGACGTAACTTGATGAATAAGTGACAGCCTTACTCTGAAGCTAGTTATACTTGGCTTAAGAAACTTCCGTTCTCAATAAACTTATCAATTATTGAGTGAGCTAGAAACTTAAGAAGCAGTAAAACGTCGTCACAGGCTGTTCCTTCACAACATTGGGGGTGACTTTCCTGAATACACATCTTGTATTTCCCTCAAAGCTCCATCTTCTTCACTGTCGGACCAATTTCTGCCAAGTTCTCTGTTACAAATTCGCTCTCTCCTCTCTAGGACAGGAAACTCCTTTACAAAGAGCTGATCTGTGTGAGCTGAATCGACAGATTAATTGTTCTCATCGAGACAATAAGATGACTACATGCCGTGGGTGCTGGGCGTCTTTAGTTACCGGATGTTATGGATGTCGCACCAGGAAAGATGTTGAAAACAAAGAAGCAACGAAACTCGTAAGTAAAACGTTTTCTCATCGTTGTTTGTTAGACACTTAAGAAATGATACCTTGGTAATGCTGACAGATAGAAGTATGTTTCACGGCTCCTTCATCTTCGTCTGTCTGGTCAGTTACAAAACGGATTGCAGTGGGATTGTGCACCAAAGGTATATCGATATAGCTGTATAGCTTGATATTTTGAGCCAAACCTGATATTCTTTGCAAAAACCTGAAGCGCTAATTTATGGCTACACAAGATCTTATCATAAAGGCTAAAGGTCTGTAACTATCAGCATTCCATCGGAAAAGTTTAGATCATAGCCTTCACGCGACCTTTTAAAATGCATGTAAGTTTCATTTTAAAAAGTTGCATTTTTAGAATAATCCCGTTTTAAATCCCGAATTCTTGGTAAATCTTGCATCAAGAATTTAGGAATATATATTTCTCAAAATCAAGCAGATTTAGAAAAAAATTGAAGCGGGAAATGTATTGGCATTTCCCTATATTTGAATGGTTGCTGAGCATTGCCAGGAATAGGCTGTATGGAGGAGAATGGATCATAACACATTGGCAAACTGAATTCCAAGGCGCACAATGTATCACCATCCGGGTTATTGATCATAAGTATACTTTCAAGGGTTTCGTGTATGCATGTTGTATTGTACTTGTTATTGTGTAGATGTAAAAACCGCAAGCGAAAGCAGGAAATTAGCTTAAGCTCATGGGCGGCAAGGGAACTTGAGCAATGAAGTGACCATCCGCGTGTGTGTTTCACATTCAGTCATATATTATAAACTTAGTCATAGGCCTTCGCATTGTAATAAATCTAAGTCGATGTTTGAATTGCATGTAATACTCTACACTGCTGTTAGACGTGGGTGACGTTGCACTAGCTTGTTACATTAGCTTTCCAACGTGCTATTTTGACGTCGACAGCAGGTAATCTGTCGAATTCCTTCGCAGTGTTGGGAAGAGCGCCTATTTTTTGTTAAAGGAGAGCGATCGGTTATCAAGATTATTACCGATATGCATTTAGTGCATCGACTATATATTTGTGGAGCCAGTGAGTTTGAACACGAATTGTATACCCAGTGGTTGTGTATATTTGTTTTATAAAATTGTAAGGTTCGGTTTTCATTCTGGTCCGGCCTGGGATTATTTAACTTGGAAGTAAGGGAGCCATCGTACAGAGAAATGTCGTTCCCCAATATTATTTCGACAGTGTGCTCCGATTTTCTGAATCAGCCGATATGGTCAGTTATATGCACAAACACGTATCAAATTTCTACCCGAATCAAATCACACTCTGAACTGAATCCTCCAGCTTTGTAATATAATCCCTTTATAACTTACGACATCCCTCAGCTCGAGGGTTCGGGTAGAACTTTAACGAGCACCTAAACAAATTTCCGCCCCATGTTGTTTTTTTTAATGAATTCTGTCATCTCGTCTCGGGTCTTTCTGCTGTCATGGCTGTTTTTTACGCGATCAGTCCAGTAACTTGTCCAAAATATTATATTTGATAAGGCGTGGCCAGAACTGCTTCCTGTCAATCTGTTCGAGGCCTAGCAAGTTTCAGAGGGCGGCTTGGAAAAAATCGAACGCTTGAGGGCTCATTAACCTCAGCTCGATTTGGTCACGTAGTCACTTGATATCACCATGCTACCCTTTTAGGCAGTCTATGCTGAACTCACAAAAACAGATTAAACGTCACAATCATAGACTTTTTAGTTTCATTGTTGATGTTCATGCGAAGGTACGGTACCTTGATACGTTGTACCATCATGAGAACAAATAACATAAACACCACAACAAACAAGAACGGAAATACTGCACTGAGACAAAAGCTATTTTGAATTTATTTCTCCTTCAATAAATAAAAAAACGAACCACAAAGATAACTCCAGATAGGCGGAACAGACGGACTGTATTGCCCCTCCCATATTGCTCTGCAAAGATCAAAACAACATTTACATCAGGATAAAGAATGATACATACAAACCTGGCCATGCAGGGTCCTCTTGATGAGGTACTTTTCAAGACCTTCCCGTGTGTGTGTAATATGCATACTATCTGCCATTGAAGATGGGCTTACTACTGAATTGTCCCATTGTACCGTAGACGGATTCAAGCTGATTTAGCCTCTGCAGTTGACTCTGGGTTAAATACGCTGATGTGCTTCATATTTTCAGGGACCTCTAGGAAAACCAAACGGTCTAGGAAAACCAAACAGTCATGACAAAATGTCATAAATGACGGTGTGAGTCACATTGTGACTTGACGTGTGCTATAGGCTGTCGTCGTTGGGACTTTAAAAACATGTTATAGAGCAATGTAAAGGTTCCTGGAAGATCGTTTTTTGTTGTAATGTCACACCCTTTGTTGTTTGGATTTGGTATCCGTAATATACTTTAAATGTTTGCATCATTATTACGCACGGAAAATAATAGGTGTGCAACAGCTGTAGGGCGTCGGCTGACAATCGTGTCATTGATTCATACATGACGCACATGGCTTGTCAACCATAGATGTTAGCTGTATCCTTCAGCAGTATAATTTTGCACATGCCCTGTGCAGAAGCATATGAATTCTTCACGCTTGTCAGGGAACAAAATGTCTGCTGTGTAATCCTCAAATCCCCAAGGTTTTTGGTTAAGAAAATTCTACTCTGTGGGCACTGTCATCCGTGGTTTAAATCTGGGGTTGCTATGCGCAAGCTGTAGACTTACGGCGCCTTTCCCAATGTGCGTTTCTGGGTGCGTTGCGTACACGATGCGTTCATGCGTTTCACTTTCACGGACACAAAAATCGACTCCATGAACATAACACACGTGTACGTTGCGTTCAGCCGTCAAAATCGTCCTGGGAGCGATTTTGACTGATACACAACGCTTGGCGCAAGTGTTGACACCCCAAATTATAGAAAGGTGCCTGAATCCGGTTAAACGCCATAACTGCAGCGGTATTGTGCATTCACCCATGCGCACATTCTTCAACTTGACGGACGTGAGCACTTAACAAATTACGACACCCTAGGGCAAGTTCGGGCGCATGTGCAATTCTGTTTCACTCGAACGACCCGAGTCGGTCAATTTTTTTTTAATCTCAGCCTTACTCACATTTCACCATTGGCTGCGATTCTTGCAGCGTCCATGGTTATTGAAGTGTCGTACAGCTATTTTCATGTTAATGGTTCCCTCTGTAATGATAAATGAAATCGGCTTTTGATAACCAGCGGTGCGACCATACCCCTGGGCCCGGTCCCAAATCGCCAACTAGATAGTTCAAACTGTCCATCGTTCGAGCGGTGTTAGATAACTATAGTCGCTCAAACTTGGGTCAAAGAGTCATGTAACGCGTACGTACCACCTGTCCAAGAGTAATGACATCTTTCGTTCAACACTAATACAAGTAGTAATTTGCCACTTCACTAGTCTTGTTTCTTGTCATTTTACCCATTGTATTAGAAGTTGCAACAAGTATTAAAGACGAAACATCTCATAGGTACGGTTAGAAAGAGCCTTGCTGGTAGGGAGTTTTTCGTCTTGTTGGTAGCGACGCGCATGTGACACACGCATTTCATAGTCGTTTGTGAACCACCGACGTGCAGTTCCAACCACATTTCAAAGGAGCCACCGTTGCTTGGAAAATCATGCCCTCTCTTGGTCTCGCCCGGGGACTTTACGCGCTCCACAGCCTGGGTAATATTCCAGCCTATGACAAACTTCATTGGTTATGCAGCGGCCAAATGCTCCTCGATTGTGCTACTTTTCTGCCCGCGGCATCGAACTCGCTGAGGTCGACACGTCTCCCGGGCATTGGAACCAGGAATAATTCTTTAAATGCTACAGCCTTTAGCGGATCAGAACAAAATTCAGGTCTAGGGCGTATGGTGAAACCTTCAGATGTTAAATTCAAATCAAAACACTCACAAACCCTGTCTGATATTTTTGAAACTGGTCTGACCTTAAATAGTAACCATGGCAGCACTGTTGTACCAGCCATACACAGACTGAAATAAACCAAACGCTTCCATGTGTAATTAAACATTTGCAGAGCAGTCGACTTGGTGTGGCAAATCGTACACTGTTAACAACCTTTGAATATTGGTTTGGCAAATGGAATTGACAAGCTGTGATTTTAATCTGATAAATTGAATTATTGGAATTAGTCTAACTAGCCAGTTTCTTAGAATTCCTGGGCGTTTACCCAGTAATCCCAGCAAAAGCCCATCTGTTCCTGGTCTTTATGCATAAACATCTGACAATGGTTGCTGCTGATTTATTTTTGATGTAAAGAAAGCATTGCTATTATCAAAATTTCTTACAGGTACTTTAATTTAAAATTTGTGAGAGGTGGCTGTTTGTCCTGAGTGTTTGTCCAGAAATCTTTCTTTGCTTTCACCTCGATAATTGAGGACTTGAATCGTGCGAAGCGAGTCTCTGCAGATAACAGGTGAAGTTCGTTACCAGCCTTCGGAGGCTGAACTTTATTTCAACTCACTGAGGAAACCACATCCTCCCCTCCCGCTTGATTTAGGAAATTATCTTGAGTCCGAGTATTTGCACTGTCTGGTTTTGCGATTTTTGTCTCCTTTATGTTTGATGTTCACGCTCCTTTAGATTTTTTGAAGCACTATTCCTTAATTATTGTAAAAAATTGCTCTGTTTCTGGTACTTGTGCATGTGACGCATTGCTTACACCTGCTGATGAAGTGGCGAAGTGAAAGTTTTGAAAGCCTCCCGTATTAACTCAATTTTAAAGTCAATGAGTCAGGAAAATGAAAAGTCATATTTTTATAAAGACATCTGTCAGTATGTGTTTCGGGAACAGGAAGTGCCCTTTTATGATTATTCCAATTTGTGTTTCTTTGTACTCTTGGGTATTTCCTTCATAGACGGAGAGGCTGTGGTTCATCTTCGTGCTGTTAGTGTCTTTCACGTCACTGGCTAACATGTTCTTCTGGTTGGCCGCAGTCAATGACTCATCCGACTTCAACAGGTAGGGTTGGGCCGTGATCTGGACTTCATCACCGGTGAACGGCCGGTGCCCCCTATGCGGTCATTCTCTGCTTACCCCTTTCACTGCCCAGCTGCTTGATAACCATACTCTTCCTATGATACTGGATTTTTGTTTGCCGTTTTGCCTGATTGATTATTACAACGTGCTTTAGAATGATGCTTTGACTACCAGACGAAATCTCATTCACATTTGTGACACAGTAAACGAGGTTTTTGTAATATTGTGAATAGGGCTAAATTTAAAAAAGAGAGCAAAGCTTCCTATCCGAATAATATTCCTCGGAAGATTAAGCATGACTTAGGTTTCCCTCCAACACAGAGACCTTGCTGAGATGACAGGCCTGTGGTGGCGCTATTACATCTTCTTTATGGCCTTGTCGTGTGCACTCAGCAGCTATGCCGTTCTACTTTTGGTGAGTCTGAGAATCCCGGTTGTTGGCTTAGAGGGCGCCATTCGTACCATTTTATAAACAGAGCACCATTATGCGTTGACATGCTTGTACGTCATGAATACAAATTGTTACCAACACAATTACAAAGTTTCTGTTAAATAGTAGTACATGTATTGTCTATAAAAGTGTCCCTTGAGTCATCTGATGATAAAATCTACAGGACTGTGACAGCCCATGCAGTATAATTCACAGTTTTGAAAATGAAAATCACTTTTTACTTCATTAATTTCTTCACAGATGTTCGCATTTTTACACATTGCTATTGGACAGAAGTTACAGCTTCATGGAGCGCACAAGGTATAAATAGACATCTTGACACCCGAGAAAATAAATTCTTACGAAGTAAAACACGACTCAGTTTTTGGCCGTATTTATTTCATTGTGATTCGCTGATTTATGCTTAAAAATTTCTTGATATGGGTGTTTTATGAGGATGACATTTGATGAGACGGCGCCAGAAAAGAGTTGCATAATTTCATTTTTACTATTGCACAATCGTTTTGTTTCGGAATTTGTGACAACATTCTCTTATCCCACATTTATGAGTGGAGTCTGTTGCCCATGAAAAATTTGCTTCAGGTGGTTCAATTTTTTTCTGTTTACACAGATTGGTCTGATTCTGGATCTTAGCTTGTCAGTTGCACTGTTAGTATTTCCGTGTGCCGTGCTAGGATCAAGCTCTCTATGGCATTTCCTACCACAGGCGCTGCAGGTATATGACGTCAATAGAAAGTGACCATTAAAACAAATGTATTTATGAGTTTCTAAACTTCAAATGAAAGACGTTTCGTAAGGGTACATTTTGAGGTAAAATTGGAAATGTCGAGGTAGTTGAAAAGCTTGACTTTGAAAGTTTTGAACGAGGAGTTCTTAGGGTTATGAAACAGCAGAATGAATTATATCCTGAAGGAAAACTTGTATAAAACATGAGGAAGTTACAATTGGGTACGAGGGGCCGAAATGTAGTTGCTATTGGCTGTGTTTTTAGGCATTATCACATGCATCGACTTAAATATTTAGGGGATTATGCCCATTGATTTTCATGAGATTTTCATTGATTTTCATGTGGTACAGTTTACAGGACCTTTTCTGCATCTTGTTGGTGTGGTAATCATGACTGGGTTAAGTTGGTTTGTTGCTGGAGGAATGGGCACCCTCCAACGGAAAGGTAAATGTCACCTAAAAGGCCAAATCTCAAACAAGACTCACTCGATGAATTAGATAATTGTCCACGGTAATTTATTGTTTATCTGCATACGAACTCTAACGATGCAACACAGGCCTACTTGTCTGCGAGGCTTTTTCCCGACGAAAATCAGACGTAGTGAGATGGGGGGATGCCTGGAGATCATGTTGACCTTCTTGTTAGACAAAAGCCGTTTCAAGGAAGAGGAATGATTGTGGATACGGTCGAACACTCATAATAAAAGCATTTTTGATACAACATCCTGCTTATAAGAAAATCAATTTAGATTCCAAGGCTTTGTTTTCCAGTACTGAAAATACAATGACCCTCATTCGACAAGGTCATTTGTCAAGTCCCAAGGACCTTGTCATAAAAACATTCGACTGTACTTCAATATGCCGGGGTATATAAAGAAATGTGCAAAAAAAAAGGGAAAAAAAAGAGGAAGATACTACATGATATTTTAATGCCTAGTCTTCCTATGGATTATTCCAAATTGTTACTGTTTTTAGTGTGCATATAGGCTATGGTTTCTTTTCTTATATCCTGCCTCCATTAGGAATTCCAGTTCGTGATGTAGCTTTATGGTATTTCCTCGTTCTCATCGGTCTCTACATTTCACCCGTCTTCATCCGTTCACCATGCCTGCTTAAGTATGACGAGCTACCACCCAAGCCCCTGGTGTTTGCCTATAGGGGTGCTGAGCAAGTAAGTCCTGATGACGTATCTAGTTGCGTAACTAGGGCGGCATTATTGAGGGGTTTCAAAGACGCCCATTTTTTGTGTACATTTTAAAATTTCACAGGGAGATAACGGGAGGACCAGCGTTCTGCTGAGGAGAGGGGGGCACATACCCCGGCAGTTACATCACTGGACATACTGCTTATGATTATCACAATTATGGAAAATGCCCTTAGTGGAGATAAAAACCCGTCCACGAGGTAGCTAATTGGTACCCTTAATGTTGTTATTTGATGAGATGTTCCGTGATCATCACCTGTTACCTTTACTGAACAGGAAACGAGGCTGGTTAACGAGGGTCTGCATATACTTGTGTTCATGTGTTCAATTGTTCATTTTTCCGGGCGCTGATGAGTTGGTGATGTAACGTTGGGGCCCTATGTGCCGATTTTTTACCAGGGGTGATCTTCATTACTTTGCTGCCCACTTTCTGGTTTTCTTTCCTCTTGCTGAATTCTTTTTCACGACAGAAAAACGTGGAAATCAGTTTCAAATCTTTTCTGTTTGACAGGATGTTTGAAATTGCAGTTCTTGAAAAGAAATCTGCAATACGAGGACAGGAGTAAGCCAAAGAGAACCGTATTCGAAGAATGTAGTATTCCTACACTTTCTTTACGTCTACCATTTGCTATTGTTGATCGATTATGGTATACTCTAAAATGTATTTAAGAGAAATAAATCCAGAAAGCACCGATAAATGTGACTGATTCCGTTTTCTCGTTATTTCTCGTGTGATTATCGTCAGACGAGTTCTTGCAATAGCAAGTATTAACATACGTTTGCCAGTTCTATTCCATTTTCCTCCCGTTTTCAGTTGCTAGTGCATAAATTAACCAGATCTGTCGGTGGTGCATATTCATTTTCCATCGTGGTTCTGAGCTGACCATTTCTGTTGACGAAGGTCGCTATGCGTCCTGTATGTCGTGTCTGCTTGGCGCTTTTTGTAAGAAATGTTTCGCTTGGCAGTGCTTCTGCAAAATTGAAACCTGATGAAACCTAATGCGTAATGAGATTTCATTTAAGGTCACCTTAAATGGTTGATTTCTTTTGTGAATCTAGCCACTGCACAATACTGTGTGGTCGCAGACTTCTATGGATTGTAGGTCATCCTTCCTAGAACTGCAGTTTCAAACTGCAACTGTTCCTTGAATCCTTGGACAGTTTGGTGTAAAAGTCAGGCGTACCATAAAACATTTTCGACGGACAGGGGTCATCTGCACAGCAAGACTCCACAGAAAATAAGAAAATCCCAAGAGGTTGAATAAAAAGCCCTTCTCTAAAGGTCACCCCGGTGTAACATCTTCCTTTGAGTCATATACGAAGCAGGTTTTATATTTCCAATTCAATGTTACTTCATGCTCTCTTGGGTACATGAAAATCTTGTTATGATGTAGTGATATTCTCATATTTGTCGTTTTTTCCACTTGACTTGAGAAGATATCTAGTAAAACCAAAATTAAAAAGGACCATCTGGAAGATCCTTCGTGGTAACGGGTACCTCATTGCCTTGATCAAAGATAAATGCAAAAATAAAACAAGTTCTTTGTATTCTGTTTTCTTACCCCTTTTCATTGGTAGCTAGCACCAGAGAACACACTCATTGCATTTGAGCTTTCCCTTGATGTCTACAATGCCCAAGGTATCCACACTGATGTACGCGTAAGGTATGCCAGGGCTACGTCATTACCAGTGAAACACACTTTTCCAAGTATTTAAATTTAGGAGTAGAAACTGTAGGTAGATGAGTGATTTGAATCAGGCAGTTAACTGAATGTCAACATTTTTATCGACTGCCCGTCTAGTAACGTGATTATATCGAATGCTTTCGTGCATCTTGATTCTTTTTTTTTATACATGTAGTTATGATGGCGAACCGTACATCATGCGTGATGACAAACTCACCCGTACAACCAACGTGGAGGACGTGTTCCCTGAGCGCTACGCAGATCATTCAGATAGCTTTACATTGGCAGAGCTGAAGCAGTTGAACGCAGGGTCCTGGTTTATTACGGTGAGATGTTTGCTTGCCATGGACATATCTGCTGTGGTTCGCTATAGGCATCCTACCGCATCAGTAATAAATACCTTGAAGCAAGTTTGTAGCGCTTGAATAATGTAAATAACCCCATATCAAATATTGACTCCATAACCAGGGCGTGCCTGTTCAGTAAATGCTCAAACTCAATTATTGGTACAGTGTCACAGTAAAATGAGTTTTCTCGAGATTGATTTTGAGGCGGAAGTTTTTTTAAGCGTGTGTGAACGCTTAATTCTTTTTATTTGGTGGAAACTATATACAATTTGAATTTGATTGTAAAAATTCGACGTAGAGGCCGGGAACAATGTTTAACTGCAGCGTCCTTTGTATTTACAAACAGCCTGGTTTGCATCATCACCAACCTTCCATCGTGGTCTGCTTAATTGTATCAATTTATTTCAAGTGGACTGACCTTCACTTATAATACCCTTCTTACCAACACGACGGCAGTTGCTGGAGAGCCGCTACCGACGATAATTAAAATTAAACGATTTTTCTTATACTTTATGTTTGTCTAAAAATACACCGACTCCAACCATACTGAAATGGCATTGGTTACCGCACATATACCAGACCAGATTGTTATGTTGCTTTTGACACCATCTAACTTCGCCCTTGGGCGATGCCATTTACTGTACACCTGCTTCTCTCTATATTACCACACAAATGGGTTTCAGCCGATAGTCCGACAGTGCTGAAATGATTTTGGGAACGACATCAAACCAAAGCATTTTGGATTTGTACTTGTTTTGGTTTGTGTGTTTTGTTTTCACATTACCGGTTTTTCAGTTTTAATGACTATAAATTTAGTGATTAGGTCTCTCTCTGAGATCGAAATGAAAAGGACACGACTAATAGATTTTTCTAACAGTCTGACCTGGCCTTGGGACTGATCTCTGCGATCTGGCATTGCTTACTCCTGCGTGTGTATATTACGTTAGCAGCCCGACTTTGTAATTAAGCTGCGCTAACCCCCTGCTATCTAAACATTAGAGCTTACCCGCGTTCTTCTGTAATGAATAGGCTCATACAGACAAGCTCCTCTACTGCTACATGCCTTGATTAGTTAGAGTGTTCTTAGAATTATCTTTGAGGGGAAATCCCTTTCCAAGGACACTTCCAGAATTATTTACTGTCTAGCAAACGATAATGTGAAGTAAAAAGGAAATATTTCATAGCGTCGCTGCCCTTCTGAAGGTCGTCTGCCTTTTATGTGAAAAAAAGAAAGAAAACTGTGAAAGAGGTGAAGTTTTAATCGATTCCTGATCCAATGTCACTGAAGACAGATATGTTTCTAAGTAGAGTATGAAATAGGAATCGTTTCCACAATGCCTTTTGAACGTAATCAGCATTTTGATGGGAAGATTGCAAGGTGAAATAGGCGGCCAGTCTATCATGCCTATGGCCAACTCAATTACTTTGTTGCTGACTAGACCAATATACGCATATTGCGCGCTTTTTGATCGAGTTTTCTGTTTCAAATTATGACCTCCATTGCACGTTGATCAGAACTTGATGTATTCGTAATTAATTCTTGGTTGCCATGGGTAATCTGAATAGCAGCAAATGTCGCTGCAAAATCACAGAGTTCAGAAGTAATTGAAGTAGATTTTCAGCTTGCATTTTCGTCTTGTACGTTTTACACAATCAGTGTCGTCGTTGTACGAATACACGTTTTTACCGAGGTTATTACAATCTGTCTTGTCTCTCATTTTTTGCTAGGCGTTGTTTTGTTGGTTTTTAGTTTTTGATGTTTTACTCATAAACGCTGTTTTGAAGTTGTTTCAGTTATAGTAATATAATTTTCCCTCGTCTCTAATTGTATTTTTCGTCATTGTGGTCAAACACTTGGGATAAATGAGCAAAAAAGTGGTCATCATTATTTCTGTCTCACACTCCATGGTACCGGTTGTTATCTGTTTCTTTTGTAGTTATGCGCCGGGGAGATGTTTATTACATGTTTGGTCCTATATCTCTTGATCTTTTTCTTGACCTGACAGTGTAACCCATTTGGGACTACTAGCAGGCTGACGGAGCTTGAAATTATACGTTACAGAAAGCAGAAAATTCCCACCTTGAGGGAAATGTTACTTCAGGTCAAGGGGAGAAACAAGACAGTATTGCTCGATGTCCGCACACCACCTGATGACCATCCTTACTCCGAGGATTGGTTGAACATAACGTTGCAGGTTATACTGGATTCGGGCGTCGCCGAAGAGGACGTGGTAGGCAGCATAATTGAGTTAGAGATGATATCCACCATCCATGGATGACCTTTTGATTGGTTTAATTACAAACTGAAAAAAATGAGATCTGAAATAATTGATTTTGTTGGAATTTCATTATGAGGTATATGATAGACCATCAAGTTCTACAGTGTACAGACAGAAAGGTTAACTCAGAAAAGGTACAAGGACAATTCTGGACACGACTGTTTAAATTAACAAAAACTAAACCACATTACTTTCAATTTAAAAGCTATTTTTGTAGTTTAATATGTGACCGGATACTGTAAATAAAAGAGAATTACCCACGACAACATTTTGATCCAAATTCAAGCGTTAAAGAGATTATCGTCAAACGTAAAGATCACATTTACTCAGTATTTTCTTTCTTTTTCATTTTTGGTGTAGAGTTTCTGGAAAGCACCTAATAATGACACCAAGTACACGTTTGCAATAAACACGTTCGATGAACGAAGACTGATGACAACGTATAACGACATACCTTTCTTCCAAATAAGGTACGATAATGGGTTTCATTAAGTGCGTTTATGTGAGAATGTTCTTTCTGTTTCAAAGTAACGGTATTTATGGATGCTGTTTCGCGAATGCATTTATTTTACTTTCAAGCTTTCAAAGTTCTGACTCTTTTCTTGGATGAAGGAGTGATGCAGCGTTGAATGTAACAACAAACGTTTGGACAGTCAACGAAGATTGGCTGTTTTCCTTATTCTGGTGCGCAGGCGCAACCTCCATATCCACGTCATCGTGTCAAAGGGTACGAATAGGCGACGGCCCTTTGTGGCAGCTGGTAAGCATGTTGAGGTTTTCCCACATAAAGCGTTTCCTTCTGTAAAGGCAATATGATTTGTTTGTCGTCAGAATCAAACCATAGCGCAATCAAACCCAGCCGTGCCAAGCTTCATCTAACCAATTCATTCTTGTAGGAATGATTCTCAGCACGTTTTCTGCCCTTACAACCTTGTTCTCATTTCATTTGTTGTCCTCATGCATACTATCCTTGTTCCCTGTTGGCTGAACCATTTCCCTCTGTTTTACAATGACAATTTGATGACTCGCCTAATTGACGTTCAACCTTTTCCATACAACCTTGAGTTCAATTTATCGCATTTTTCCAATCTGGCGGATGTTGTTCTCTTTGCAAGCAGGATTTGTTGATCAAATTCAGTCGAGTTAATTGCTCGTTATATTCGAGTGACTTCTACTGGCTCGCGAGACCTAATGAGCAGAAAACATCGAAATGGATGCAAAAAATTCAACTAGCCCTTACCTCCACCCAACTAGAGCCAACAAAACACGGATGGACGGTAACAGTGATAACCCAGTAGTAAATCACATACCCGATATGTCGGTCATGCTGGCAACTTAATCGAAACACACCGTACCGACTAAGCCGTGTACTTCCATCCTGACAGTCATAAGAAGGCTGGTGTGATCACACTTTGAGCATGCTGCTTCGTGTCATTGCCACAACCAGTGATTCAGTTGGTGAAGGGAGAAATAAAAACGCTTGTCAGGTATTGCTCGTTAACACGAAACGTCTGTATTGTTTTACTATCCATTCAGATTTAATTTGTATTTTAAGAAGAAGAAAATCTCGACTTAGACGATGATCGTTCTATTCCAATCTTGTCCGACCCCAAGACCCTGTGTTAGATTGATGAGCCTTGATTTCAGTTCGAAGTAATATGTATATACCTGGGGTTCTCTCCCTGTTCAGATGCAGGGTGTCGTTCTCAGATTGGATGTACGTGAATCTTGTTTCTGTCTTTTTTTTTTGGTACCCTTTTTGGGGTTTGGTTTTTATTTTGTCTTCAGCTTAAACATAAATTTTTGGGGGGGGGGATTTAAAGTAAACATTCATTGAAGAAGTTGAAAGCTGAAGGCTTTGAAATAGATCTGTCTATCAACACAGCCTATTTGTAACGAGAAATGAGTTTCTGAACCTATTTGTCTGAAGGACCGTCTTCACTAAGAAGATTAATGTTGCTAAGGCAAATTCAAGATATGTAAAGCGTCTGTCCTCATCTTCCTCTTCTCCCGATTTTTTTTTGAATGTGTAAATGATGGGGTAGGATTGGATATTATGTGATCTGATATCGGCAACTGATTTGGTAGGAATCACTAGTTATGAATGCGTCAAGGACAGGTGTGTTATTGAGTCAGTGCCACATTTCCTGATTCAATCTTCCTTCAACAACCAATTCCTTTATCGAAAACTGTTTGCTTTTGTTTTGTATCGTCTTGATCTCCAGAGCCCGCTTCACTATCGGATAATGTGGATTCTTTTTGATGTAGTCTCCTTTATCTGGGTGATAATTATCTTTATCATTCAAATCAGGTGAGAGTATAACATTTCACCATTTCCTTGTCAGAGGAAAGGGTGATCCATCCCTGCATGTATGCATTTTGTATTGGGTTCAAAGGTAAATGGTTAATGCAGTGCTGTGATACATGTAGTTTTCTCTTCATTGAGATTTCAAGCGTGTGAGGAGAGGGTCATTTGGAAAGTCTCAGTGCATGAGAAACAACTGCAGTTGAGCTAAGCCTGTGTCTTCAAATTGGCTGAGCTCAGATACAGTGTCCATGTACAAAATCGCGAGATAGGCGTGGATAAAAAATGTTTTTCATGACAAGTCTTAAAACCGCGCCTGTCTCAGTTGAGTGCTTTGAGAGTAGGGCTATACCAAAATGTCGAGTCGAAGATGTTGGTCAAATAATTCCCCAGCGGACGTCACTGCTGTGTAGTGTATTCCTTCGTTTCTTAAATCTTGTTTTCTTGAATTCAGTTCCAAACTCCGAAACAAACCAGCCCAACCTCACGAGATGGTCAGTCTTGTAGCCGTGACGGATCACGTTGAATGTGACACTCGAACGGAGCTCGGAGCATGTAATGCATGACATGTATGTGAATCTTAACATTACTGACACAGGTTGGTGCTTTGGATGGCCTGTTCTACATTGCCCTTACAAGTGAGAGGTAGAAATAACCATGACAACCAGCAGTTCTTTGTACTAAAACATCATATTCCACACTTACTAGTGTTTTATGACCTTGACCAATCAAATTACTCTGTTTTGAAGGGAGTCAACTAACCATCTAAGGAAATACAGGAATGGCATGAACCACGTTTATATTTGTCTCGATGATGTTGACTTACATGGATTGTGTGGTCTTGTTACTAAATCATTCCATATACTTATGAGCATGGAATGACATGAATAACAATTCCATTGAAATATAGCTTTTTATTGTTCCCATTAGTAGCAACCCCGCAGCAGGTGGCACTTTCCTTGCTGTCTTCTTTTGCCAGGCGGTGTTTAACTCTCGCTAGACGAGTCAGAACCTTCATGTCAATTTTGTAATGGGTTTTCGTGAACAATATAGAAAAAAAGCTGTCTACCGTAACGTGAGTGTAAACAAATCGCGGCATAGGCCCATGATGTTTGATACCCAACTTTTATTTAAAAAACTTATTGCCAATTGAAGAAGGTGTGTGTAATTACACCCTGACTGGCAGGAAATGACAGAAGTGACTAGACAATCAGCAGAAATTGTTAGGCAGAACAAACATCTTTCATGTTTTCTTTAGAGGCACATTTGGCTTGGTGTATGTTTACTATATAGTGCATAATGGAGTTTTATTCACTTCAAGGTGAAGCATTCATGCTCTATGATTGCCATCCGGTAGAGCATACCTCACATTTGCCCATAAGGCCATACAACTTGGCAATTAAATCTACTGCAATGTTTTGATAGAAATTTGCTAAAAACACATGAGAGCGAGCATTTTAATCAATAAAACCTTCACTAGAAGTGGTAACGTCGTTATTTTCTTCAGAAAATCTTCACCGCATACTCTCTTAGGAAACCTAAGCCTGCGTTCTTGCTTGAGTGGTTTCTTGTTTGCTTTTAGCAGATTAATTTCGCTGAATATAAAAGGATTTGGTAACTGTTAAACCGTAATGGCCATCACACTTCGGGTTAATGGATACTCGACCGTTCCTTGCTGATGACGCAAGTAATGTGCTTGTTTTTAGTCCGTGATGGTCTGTCTTACATGTCCATTGGAGAGTCATTGGCAGATTAGAAAGCAGTCGGTAGCCGACTACTATTGTAGGGATATTGTCTTACACCCCCCCCCGTTTGCACGCATGCATGCACCATTTCTGGTTTTAATAATGGATGAAGTCATGTCCATATCAAAATTGCCTTTTTGTTTTAGCAAAGCTTTTGAGGATAAAAAGCTTTTCCGATCTCCACTATGCAGATATAATTTCTTGCGCGAGATGGTAATGAATTGAACTTTGAAAGTACCGACCCGTAATTATGAGAGTATAGCCTTGGCGAGTGGTTTGCTAGATTTGAGCTTGTTTTACCCCAGGCAGCATGAAGTTAGTCCACCTTTGTTAGCTTTTGTTGGTGTTCTTTATCTTTTGAAAGGCCCGTAGATCTTATTTATCAAAGAATGATAATTTATTTAAAACATATTTTTTTGTCAAAGCCTAGCCATGATTTGAAAGGTATGTCTTCAACGCGTTTAAATTGCTGTTGTGCCATTTAATTTTCCATATTTGTATGTACAATACATAAGTTTGACTGTACTTAGGAAAACGTTTTAAACAAGCCAAGATTCTTTTACTTTGCTTTCAATCCAGCTATTCTTCCATTTCAAGTGTGTATGGGCAATGTATACCGGCACCTTAAATTCAAAGTACTCAGTCTTACCCATAACCCAGCATTTCTCCAACCTTTGTACCTTCAACCGAATGTTTCTCTCTCCCTGATTGCCTTTTCATGAAATCATTCTGTCCCTCACGCAGCCGGAGAAAGAGGCGACTTAACCAGCATGGAGAGGAACCACCCGAGCGTTACAACTATCGTCACTTCATGGCACTCGAGGAGCTGTCGAAAAATCAGAAGTCTGTGATTCTCTAGCGATGTCCCCTGAGCGCCCATGGCAGACTATGCACACTTCCGTCAACCCAACGACAGCGTAAAATAGCATGGAAGTGAAATCAGACAAGACATCAACGCTGTGTAAATAAAGCAAGAAAGAAAAGCAAGTGGATTTCTGTACAGGACGTGTACAGTTTTGTTGTTAACTCACGATTATTCGCTGTCCGTGTTAAAGTCCACAATGCCAGCCTACTTTAAGGGCGACGGTCAAACCATAAGAGAAACGACGGCCGATGATGTCGCGTGTTATTTTCCCTCAAACATGAAAAAGCCACATTGCTGCGGTAGCCGACAAGATTCCTTGGCGATTTCAGTTGGAAAGTGATACCAGGAGAACAGTTTCCGTTAATGTTCCTTTTTAAGATGATATTTAACCGTTCATCATGGATTCCTCTGTAGATAGAATAACGTAGTAGCCGTACTATAATACCTGAAAGCGAATCGACGGGGAAGCCCGTACAATTTGCATACCAGCGTGGTAAGCATTTGTTGCAGTCAAAGAGAATGGACGAGGACTGCAGATTCTTGCAAAGAATGGGTGAGGCGAAGCCGAGCGCATTCATGCATGAATCTACAGTTCCAAACTGTGTCCCTCTCACAACTATTATCCTGAACACAGCAGAACAAAAAAGTGTTGATTTGTACTAATTCTTTGAACTATGAGGTGAATTCGATGTGTCGTCCAGTGAAACGGCGTAATATGCAAAACAGGCATTTGTGCTTCTTACCCTTGGGTGCACAACTGTTGCTTCATTCATCAACTAACAAACACAGTTGTGTCACTTACTCATTCAACATCATTGGAGTATACACACCCTATTCCTTGCCTCTTGAATCCATATGAAGTCATAGTTACACGTATAGGCCTACAGCTACTGAAATCTACTAGACGATGTAAAACCAGTTATCTCATGCTATCGATGTGACTGCATAGAGTTGTGGATTATGATACCGGCTATCGTATGCACGTTTGACAAGAAGCTTGCTTTGGAACAACTCCGTATTGGTCACTTATGATTATGATCACTCATCTTGACATTTTTGATAATGGCTAACATCGAAATGCTCAACAACTTTGATGGAATCATGTCGTTTGGAGTATTGAGCGGTAAGTTCTTTGCGTTCAGTTCGATTAATTCAGTTATTTATCTGTTTCTTCCAATCGCCCATTGACTGTCCTTTGTTAACGAGTCATTGCTAAACAGTGGAAATTTATGACAGAATTAGAAAAAAGGATTCAAATTATAGACGATTGTAAAACTCTAGAAAGTGCAATGAGCCCCAAAAAAGAAGAAAAAGTGAATATTCCAAATACGAAAGCAAAAACGTATATAAAACAAGAAATCCGAAAAATTGAATAACACGTATAGACAAAACCCAAAAAGAATTGAAAAAGAAAACTAAATAAAAATTTAATATGGAGTATTTATACCATTCAATTTAAAATGATGGTTGGGATCACCATAGAATCTTTTTTTTTTTAGAAAGGAGAGCCACAACATGAAAATCCAGTGCACAAAGAATAGTTTGTGTGAAACAAACAGTTCTGTGGGACAGTGTTAAAAATGTACACAGTCAATTTCACAGAGAAATCTTAAACGAACTAACTTCAGAAAAGCAGTTTTACGGAGAGTATTGTTTATAAGCTTTAGTGTATGAAATGCATCTTCCTTCATTTGAATTGTCCTGGCGAATAGCGTGGGGTAATCATGTGAAAATCATGTGAAAATATTATTTGAAAAATCAGAACCTATACACTGTTACGTTAAATACTGGACGAAATAACTTCTCAACTTACACATCAACTTGATTGCAGGCCTTGTTCATAATACCTAACAGATTCTTTACAAAAGTGTCGATTCGAAGGAAATCAGCTACACTATAGTGTGGCGTCTCAGGACTGGTTTCATTTTTAATAATTTTATTACTGCTATAGGTATGTTGAACTAATATGTTTATTAGTATGTTCTACTAATACAGAATCAAACATGAAGCATAACTGGAAAATGTACAGTTGATTGGTTTTTTAATGGAATGCTTTCAGTGTTATATATTAGACGTGTTGTACTACAATGCTGTAAACTACTGACACAGAGACGATGCAATAACCAGTTTCAAGTATTTGAAATTATACTTCGTTTAAATACCAGATGAGTCTGATCTCGTATCAGCGAACCGTCCGTGCAATATTGAAACTGAACGTGGTTGTGCAGGAAACATCCTGGCCGGAGTGTTGTTACCAAACGTTAAGGATTCTACAGAAATCAGAACAAAACCAAAAATACACTCAAACATAGAAGCTTATCTTTACATTTAAAAGAACATCCATATCCTTGTTTATATTGTGGATATTGTGTTTGGAAGGGAAATTTGCGAGAAGTTTTGTCATCTGTAGTATGGGTGTTTCGGAGTATTAATTTCATCCTCTTTCGACAGCAGATGAAATTTGATGACTGTCGAGGACTTGTAGCCCCAGAGACATGGATTATAAGGCTTTATTCCCCGTGGATTCATGGCATGCTTGTGACACAGCAAAGAAGCAAAGTGATACGTGGAAGAAAGCAAAATAATCCATGATTTCAGAATAAAAAGCTGAATAAGCAACCGACTGTTTTTCTTCTTTTTTTTCACTGTTGTAATCAAAATAAAAGAAGGAACTATGCATAGAGGTCCAGTCGTCGCGATGACAACGAATCATACTTCCTTTGCAATCCATCAAGTTACCTCTTGGAGCTGACACGGACTCGGCCCCCCTGCTCTATACTTGCACAGACATGTTTTAACAAGCATGTTTATACAACCACCTGACCTCTACCGTGACATTTGCACCGTCAACGAGACGAACAGGTAGTCCCGTATCGCAATCATTGCTGAGAAATGAATCATATAAAGTTAATGTGCCCGTCCGTCGGAATGATTCCATCCGCTGTTTATGGGGCGCTTTTATTAAATCGAATGTGATACAGGGCTCCCTTTTTCAGTAGATTGAGTTTGTGTCTCTGAATATTCAAGGATTCTGTCTGTTGACTGACATGAGGAATCAAGCAGTTATTGCCATGTTGAAAAGGCAGTTGGTGGTGGTATGGAAAACACATAATAAACAATGTTAAAATTTCGTGTGATTGTGCACCTATGTTAGTTTTCACGCAGATGGAGAGGCATTGTACATTACAGGGTATCTTTGCTGAGATCGAAACTGAGAAACTAAGATTTACGTCTTTCACAGGCATCATTTTCATTTACGTGAGTTGTCTCCAAGGTATCTAATAATGTTAATACACCACTGTACTTGGTTCTTCAATAACCCATAAATATCCACGGTATGACTGATGAGCTACGCCAGTATTTATTCTCACATTGTGAGCTTCGGCGGCAAATGAAAATGACGGGGGATGTTATTACATGACGGCGTTTCATCACTCATTCTATCGTCAGCGGTTCGTTTGGCTGCCAAATAGACGCAGCATTCGGGTAAAAATGTAATTCAAATGGTTCCAATTTGTGAAGCACTACGGGGGGGAAACTTGCGTCCAAACACGATTTTAATTTCCCTCAATTGATGTAGAGAAAGGTTGAAGCGTGACTCCGAAATTCCGGTCGAAGCGATAGTCTGGTGACATACATTTTGACAATGTATCCAATGAATCGTGATATCTTGTGTCCGTATCTTAATATGATAGGTTCAAGGGTTCAAGATCAACCCTAACAGTCCTCAGTCCTCCAACAGATGAGGAACTTAGGACTGTTAGGGTTAACCATTTCGAGCGAGTAATTGTGTTAACCAAGTTAAAGTGACCTATCACGTTGGGCAAATAAAGTTTGTGTTGTATAATAAATTAGTATACTTGTCATTAATTCGGCCTTTACTTAGAAAGTAGTCACCTCATGCACCCGCCTTGTCGCCTTAATACTTTCTATGGCTCTGGGGGTTCGTGGGTGAGAAACAAATTTGGTTCCGGGTCAAGTTGTTAGTTCGCATACGCCGGCAGGAATTGCGTGCCGTTTCTGTCTGATTGTTGATGAAATCAGACAGCAACCAATGAAAACAAGAGAAATTTCCACCCGTTGACTATAGGTTTTCCATCGATACCCATCACAATTTTTCTGACTTATTTTATATGACTCATTGAGTTTTATGTTCTGAATAATTGTTGCCGAAATGTGCACGCTGTCTTTCTCAGAAGAGCGAGAAGGGCAAACGGGGGAATGTTTCCTTAAGATATCGCCGGGGGCTAAAAGGTATAAACCGACCTAAAGGTCGGTTTATACCTTTTAACCCCGTCCCTTAGCGATCGAGTTCGATCCGCCCAACTTTGATTTTTTCCACTGTACGGCAAAGACTGGCACCCCGTCAAATCTGTGACAGACATCAGTCAAATCTATGCATGTTTGTCCAACATTGGGGGGGGAGTGTTAAAATGTCTCCAAGATATAAGTGATGATTTTCTTTTGAGACGACATAAAAAGAAAGATTTGAAATCACTCTGTAGTTGTGCAAAGAATCTCAAGATGCCGTGTGAAAAAGATCTTTTGTTTGGACTAAAACAAATTTGCCATTATAATAAATTGGATATCAAGCGAATAGCTTATTAGGTTACGGATTATTTTCTCTGGAGGGAGCGATAGTGGATTGCGTGACTGACTTTACAAAGCCACCAAAATAATCACGTGATGTGACTTGGTTAGTTGAAGCATCCGTTATCATGCCTAAACACAGTGGAGTTCTTATATTTGCATGTTCGGCAAATAAAAATGAATATCGCCAAAAAAAAAATTCTGTCGCAAAGGATTGCGTTTTAATCGTTGGATTCTGTTTTAATCGTTGGATTCTTTGGTGCATAAAGGTATATACATTACATGACGTACACAGGGCGTATCAAAATCAAGGAATCCCAAATTCAACCATATTTTATAGGAAAACTGCAGAATTCTTAAGCATTATGTCTCCCGAAAGGTCTGAATAGCTCCTTTCAAATGACACCTTGATCATGTGCTCAGTGTCACGGTTGAGTGAATAACAATGCATTGTTGACCAGCAGGTGAAATTTGCACTGTGATAAGTTTGCATACACATACAAGTGCTTTTGAATGTGTATGCTTACTAGTTTTAAACTAGTTTACTTTAAAATTAAGAAATCTGCAGTTTTCCTATAAATTTTGGTTAAATTTGGGTTTCCTTGATTTTATCACGCCCTGTATATGCAGTAGCGTAGTTAGACTGGAATTTCTGGATGTATATCTGTATGCAGATTAAGCTTCGGCCGTAATTAGTATACATGTACCAATAATAAATGTGGAACTTTCACTTTGAAATTACTGACAACAAATTCTACACATATTTATTCATTTGCGCGTAACGGTCATTGTGTGTTTCCTTATTGGAAAGCACAGACTTTGGATATTATTTGTACCTTCCCTGTGTTAAATATGTTTACTCTGTTGCTGTTTATGACGTCCAATATGGTCTCCTGGTGGTTATCGTCATATGCTCTGTTGCATTGAAGGTCATTAGGTACAATACCGTATGGTAAGTTATATAATAAGGAATTGTATTTCATCCATTGTGCTATTGTTGGTACGCTATCACAAACATCTATATAATTCAACCTTCAAATTGGATTACGCCTGGAAAAGGGTATTGGGTTTGTTACAAATGCCCATGGGAAAACTTACTTGATCTTGGATGGACTTTTCTTAAAATTGCCAACACATCATCGGTCACAATGTGCGTGTGTACCAACTGCGGCACCAAACAGCTCTCTAATAAATATACAAGTCAGTTTGTGACACAAACACATCTTCATTACGTTTGTTAGTGCATGTGCTGGTGCATTCATTATAAACTACTGCAGATAATGATGGTGCTCCTAAAGTTCAGGTTTAACAGAAATAAATGAGAGATACCCTTCATAAATGATAAGCGTTTGCCATATAAACAGTCAAGTTCTCCCGACAATCACGCTTTGAAATTAGGCAGCATTATGAATAGGCCTGTGTTGGTTCCAAATTAAAAAAAGAACGAGCCGATTCACGCCTGGTGTCGTAACAGCTCATTCATCGTTGTCAGAAGCTTTGATATACCCATCCTGCTGCCGTATAAATGACGTTGATTCTATCATTAGTTTTCAAGCTTCAGCTTTCTTTCAGTCACCATTCCGACTGTATTACTCCGTTCTGCTCATCACACTGGTAATTTTTTTTTTGGGGTCTTAGAATACAAATCAGATTTTAATGTTAGCTTATCATTAGAACTAAAAGTCAGTGATCGTTGTAAAGAGCTTTGATCTGCCCGCCATTTTATTGCATGCGTGAATGTCGTTGGCTCTAGTATTACCTTGCAAGCTTCAATTTTGAGTGATTCAGTTTACCTGTGGTTCCAAGTTTTCTTCAGTCATAGTTCAGTCTATCCGACTTCCTTTTTCTGCTCATTACACTTCTTAAAATTTCAGCCTTTCCAGGTTAGAAATGCAAGTATCACAGTACAGCTCATCGTTAGAAATAAAGATACGATCTTATTTTGATCGTTTGTTTGTCTTTTTGTTTCGTTTGTGATGATTGAGGTTCTTCAGTGTTTTATGACACCTGACCAGTCTGTCGATATGATCATCAGTCTAGTACAGTACCCATGGTGCTTCGATCGGTAAGAGTCCCATCCATGATTGCGTTACCTCTTCTTCGACAACGCAGTATCAGCTTTAACCCAGCCTGAAACTGCCTGTGCATGAGGGCATACACGAAAGGGTTGGAGCAGGAGTTGATGAATGCTGCAACCACGGTGAAAAGATACCAAGCACCGTCAAAGTTGACCGAGCCACCCAGGTTGAACTGCAGGAAAGTGAACTGGTTGGGGGTCCAGCAGACAACGTAGACGATGAAAACGGTAAAAAGCGTGACGGTGACATTACGACGCCGGGCATAGGACGCTTTAGACGGGCCACGGATGCCGCTGACAGTCGCCACAGTCTGGTTCTGAGAAGACATCGCCTTTTCCTTTCTCTTCAGGGTCCGGACGATGGTGACATAAGCATACGACATGATGACACAAGGGAGGAAGTACTCCCACACGAACAGACTGACACCAGCAGCCGTGCCAGCGGCTGCAGTCCATGTTGGTTGGAACGCACACTCTCCATTGATAATGGTCCGTTGGAAAATTGGGAAAGTGTACTGCATGATGGGTGCGATTAGCCATACGAGGAGAATGGTCACTTTGGTGAAGCGTGCTGTGAAGATCTTGCTGTAGCGTAAGGGGTACACAACAGCCACGTAGCGCTCCACTGACATCAGGGTGAGATTGTGAGCAGATACCGCAAACCCAGAGAAGAGAAAGAAACGAGACCACCATAGGCGACAGAGGAACACCCCTAATGCACCCTGATGGGAGATAACAGAACGATAGACCCGTGTGGTACCAAAAGCAATTAGGAGAATTGCCGTGACCAAATCCGCAAAGGCTTGGTTTAAGATGTACAGATTGACTTGGCTACGCCGTTGCTTCAACACGCGGAATATCAGGCATACCAAAGTGTTACCGATGACGCCCAAAGTACCAATTGTCCAGTATATGATCACGCTTGCTAATTCACTCCCACTCAGGGTGCCGGGATCTTCCGGGTTGCCCTCGGTACTTGCCTCAGTGGGCGCCGTGTTGGCCTCGTTAGCACCGGTCATCCTTGTCAAATTATCAGTCCAGGATACAGTCGCCATCCTTCTGATTGCAGTACGATTGGTTATAAAGAAGGCATTTTGAAGGTGTAAATCGGAACGACTCCTGCTCAGCAATGAGCATTTATGATTCAATCTACGACCAGCGCTGGGTTCTTAATTGTAGGAGCATAGGGGTATGTTTGCTGTCCGCGCATATCCATGGGATGAGTCTGGTGACTGCAGTGGGCGGAGACTACTGCAAATATCATAGCCATAAAACGGACTCGATTCACTCCTGCATGCAATTTTGGTCAACCACATTCATCCTCGATAATTTTGCGTAACAGATGGACTGATCCACCGGTGTAGTCAATATGACGTGACATCACGTGCTACAGAGCGAACGTCACAGGCCTTCATTCTAATTTAATGACCAATGAACTATCACAGAATCGCTCGTGCAGTCTTTGAAAAAAAACAATATTTCCGAAACATTTAGCCCCCCCCACCAAAACACACTCACGGTGAATACCCTAAACACAAAGAAAATCATATCAGATAATATCTGGATCGCAAGCATTACATTTTGCCCTGTGCGATGCCTTTTGCAATATTTCAGAACAAGTTATAGTGAATAATATTTTGAACAACTGCTATTTTTGTAGAACAAGTTGGGATATGGATCTCTTGGGCTGAGTTCGGGCGGCTTATTCTCGTATGTTCACGAACAGCTCTATTTGTTGTTCGTGGGTCGGCCGCTCGAACGCCGGGAACAAACAACCGGTTATCGCTGGTAGTTAGTGACAACCAACATGCAACATGGCGACGTCTATGTAGGCTACGTTATTCGAAAGTTAATGTTTGGAGGGGTTGAATTCTTTTCTATATAAACAGGAGCATTCATTTCTGTGTTACGTAAAATAATCAATGTTAATTTTGCAAATCTTCCCATTATCTATAGCTTTGAAAGCCATCTCTCTACTTTTTGCAGATGTTCAAAAATCAAAATCTCACGAGTTTTTTCGTGTGTTCCTGTAAAACCCTGACGAGGAGGTGGTGTGTGATCCTGTTCCGAGATCAGTGTTCTTGAGTCGTGTTCCCGCCGTTCGGGCGCGAGAACAAGAAACCTGTGCCAAGAACAGGCCGCCTGAACTCGACCTTGAAGAATGCAAACGATCAATTTGAAAAGCTCCCTGTAGTATGGCGCAGGAGAAACATGGGGGCGCACTTTTGCTTTACTATTGGACTGGTCCCCGTCCCTTCTATATATGGTCCCCGTCCCTATTATAAAGGGACCAGTAGCCAGCTGCGATTTAACGTGTGTCAATTTGGATGTTGAATTTTTTTGTCAGGCCAATATCAATGCTTTAGAATGAAACACGTTTCAAACAGATGCAATAAACCCACAAATATCTGTCCTTACGAAACCTCACGTGATCACAGTGTGATATTTATTTTGCAATAATTATCACCGATAAATAATTTTGCGGCAATTTATTTCAAATGAGTGGTTATTGTATTAAGTTCTAGATAACTAAACAATTTTTGATGAAGTTATTTTCAGTAACGCAGAAGATAAAGCAAATTGCTATCAGCTCCTGCTTGATTTGTGCATTGAGTGGGCATCGTACACCCGGCAGAATTCTGTCGAATTCATTACCAGCTCTCGTCCCTACGTTCGGAGGACATCGGTAAAATGTCTGGAGAGTGCAGACTACGTACGGGACGGGAACCAGTCTACTATCTACCCATGCTCATGTATGATTATTAAAATCTGTTTTCTGCCTCTGCTGAAGTGATTCAACCGATTATAGATCAGCATATGAACGAAGGTCTTTGTATTTCTTTTTTACTCATTTTATTATTTTAATATCCTCAACGAACATTAGGCTGCGTGTATTGATTGGTTGGATAAGCGCTATACTTTGAATGTACATGTGGACTTTTTAGTTTTTTTTTCATATGTTGTATAGATTTCTTAACACATGTATGTCGTTCTATCCGTTAATTTTGTAAGCCAGCTAAAATTATACTTAGGAAACTTGCCACGGTATTAGGATTGCTAGTGAGAAGTCATTTCACTTTTGTGACTTATTAGAAAGCAATATAAGCAAGACGTTTCTGATTGGTTAAAAGATAACTAAAGGAAGCTATATGAGAGGTTTAAAATTATCTCCTTAACGTCATTCCATGTACTATTGCAACGAATCTTTTAAGCCAGGTGTGTATTGTTATTTAATAATTATGCAAATAATATGGCCGTTCCTTTACCAATATTCTACTTATTTCTTTTTGTCAACGACAATGGCAGTAGATAATACCGAGGCTGAAGAATTTCAAACGTTTCAGTAGTGATACTCTGGAGAAGCATACCATCCTATACTTGACAAGAAATTGTAAAAGAAATTCATGTTTACTTGTGGAATTTATAACTTTGGGGGCTTTTCAATTTCGTGCAGAATTTTTAATACAGAGCGATATAAGTCCGATTTCTATAAACAGTTACTAACTCAGATTGGTGATTTTACTAATTTGTCATGACTGATATGCTTCATACACAATTTCCCTCTTTGAAGGTCGAAGGATAGAGGCTTTGAGACGCTGCCAAGTTTACATCCAGTAATGCCATTTTACATTAAACTACTTGGGTGGCTGTGTGTGTACTCTAAAATATTCTTGCGTATAATCAGCTGAGGGCGTCAGTCAAATACCATTCTAACTGTTCTTTGAAGCGCAAATCTGCATTTGAGAAGGGTAACGGAAGAAGAATCCAGTTTCCGGTTCGCAAGATTGGAGAGCTTCCGATGGCAGGTCGAAGGTGAAGCGTTGCATCATGGTTGTAAAGAACACGAACATTTCCATCCGGGCCAGTCCTTCCCCAATGCACATCCGGGATCCTGTATTGGATAGTGAAATTGGGCCCTTTGTGAACAACGTTATCGTCCAGATCAATTTCGTTGGTAGGTTACAGATTCATACAAGTGGAATATTTAGGAGGCGTGTCTAAGCTTTACTCACAACCAATCATTGTCGTTTAATCCCATGATGTTTGCCGTCCCTTGCCATCCCATCTAAGTAGTTTTTCTTTAAACACTTTCACTTCTTTTAAACATTTCCCCTAGCTTGTCTCATGTTGTAAACCTACCGGTACTAAAGGGCATGAATTTATCAGGTAGAACCACTGTCTTCCCGTCCGGAGAGAGGAACCTTTCAGGCTTGAACTCCTCTGGATCTGGCCAGGCCTCCGGGTCCATGTTCATGCATGCTATCGGGGCTAACAGCTCTGCGCCCTCAGGGATGGTGTAGCCGCCCAGCTCAAAGGTTTGAGTGGCTCGATGAAAAAGGCCAAGAGGAACTGGATGCATGTGGCGTAGTGTCTCGTTGATGACGGCACAGGTGTACGGTAGACGGTGTCGATCAGCCCATTCTGGTGTCCTGTCGTTATCCACAACCTCAAGGATCTCACTATGAACCTGGACAAATAAACCTAGTTTGTACGTCTGAACACGTCTCTGTGTGAATTTACGCGCAGCGGAAGCGCATCTTCTCGAACTGCAGTGCAATAAAGTGTGACATTTTCAAGTTCATTTGTGTCCATGTGATTTTATTATTTCCTTTGCTGTTGTAGGGAGGCTTAGTTAAAATTCCCTATGGCGAAAGGAAATCATGTTGAACATTAACTTCCCGCAGATTAATTATAAAACCAGATAATTTAAAATGAATGTAGCTCTCTGTCGTTTTAGACAAACAACGAAATCAGATATTTTCTGGGTTCAGTGGCTACCCTGCATTTTCAGTACTTGCCTTCTCCTGCACGGTAGGGTTGGCAGCCATATTCCAGATGGCAAACTGTAGTGTGCTTGACGTTGTATCCGCACCAGCTCCGAGCAAGTCCATCAGTGTACGGAAGATTCGATCTGACCCAAAGGAAAACTGTGAGTCGTCTTTGGAGGTTGCTTGGATCAACTTGTCGGTAAGGTCACGTGAATGACAGGAATCTAAGGTGGCCACGTGCTGGGCCACCATGTTGTGCATTGCTTGTCGATACGCCAGTCCTCCTCGGCGGAAGTCCTTGAATCTTGGTGCCACGAAAAGGAAAGGTATCTCGCGGGTGATGCTTACGCATGATATGTGCGAGACGGCTGAAAGGCCGAGCGCCACTTTGTTCATCTCTGGGGAAGCATAGTCAAACCGTTGACCAAAGCAGAAAGCATACATGATGTTAATAGAAGCCTTCTGGATGCCAAGTCTTGGATCCAACACCTTGTTCTTCTCGATGCTTTCCTCCAGAAAGTGACAAAGGTGCTCTGCTTCCTTCACCATGATGGTTTCTGCGCCCTTTTTGCCCAGGACGAAGTCGCGCAACGATCGCTGAACTAAGCGTCGTAGTGGCTTAATATCGCTGCCGCTCATATAAACCACTGAGCCTGAAGGATAGATAAAATCAACAGAAATGCAGAAGAAGTGTAGGGGCTATGGCTTCAGATGAAGAACAGGTTTGTTTCTTGAGAGCTACTCGCTACGTTCTTACAAAGTCGCATTTTGGATTGAAACTTCTAGTTGACTACAGGCAAGAGGACAGGCAAGAAGTCCAGTGTCTCTTTTTGCCCTTTTCTGGTTGTATGTTCTAGAAAGGTTGTTCTGAGGAAAGAACTAGCTTTGTTCGCTCGAGAAAATGATTGACAAAAATGGATAGTCTCCAAAAGCACATTCTTGAAAGAACCAGTTCGGTATTTCAAAAATGCAGTTTCACTGGAGAACAAAGCACGTTTTGGAGACAATATGCGGCCGCTTAGACAGAGTAGACCCCGCCTGAACGATTGCTGCTCTCAAAATGACATCCAACGCGTTTAAGTTTCAACATAAACTCTTGGAATACCGCGCTGGTTCAATACAGAGTTTCCTTTTAGCAAATTCTGTATAATAGATTCTTTAGTGAATAACTTGGAATATTTATTGTACCTGATACATCAAGCCAGTTCAACGTTGAAATATCTCGGGCCCCTGTTATTTCCCCCTTCTTGCTATAGGCTTCTCGGGCCAGTTCCGGATCGGTAATGACAACGGTGAGACGTGACCCCAGGTACAGACTGAAGATTTTCCCGTACTTCTGCCTATTCTTGAGCAGGAAACTTGTTGGATCGGACCCGAGATGAAGGTACGCTCCCAGTAGGGGCAAGCTCCAGGGCCCCGGCGGAAGGTTTTGAAATCTTATCCTTTCAAGGATCAAATTAACAGCGAGAAACACCACAACGAAGATCAAGGCAAGACGAAAGCTCGGTAAGAACGAAAACAGGGACAACAGTGTCTGGTATGTCATGTTGAAGATGGTTGCAGTTGGAAATAAGGCTTCAAAGTGACAGAACAGTACCCAGCAGTAAGCAGCGTGTGGAAATACTCTCTTTTTATGCGCAAAGTTGAGGCATCGATACTTGATCTATATTCTAAGTTCATTATGTCTTGGGTTGAACAAACTTTTTATACAGAAGGGGTTAATGGTTCCTACAAGATAAGCAATATATATCGGTATTAACCAGTATCGCTGTAGCGTTTATAAGAATTATTTGGTTAGTGACGCCAGAATATATGCATAAAAATGTTCATTTACTTCTATGTACCCCATTAAAGTTTTAGAGTACTGAAGTGTGACACATGAGTTGCCGTAGCGTTTATTTTACACAAGGACTATAGCGTACAGGCAAGCAGAATAGACTTTGTTCACAAGGAAGCCATTTAATAACAGTTTTGTTCCCTGACTCTCTCATATTCAGAGTAATCTGTTAAAAGAGATGGTGCCCTATTATTTTGGGTTCCAAACCTAATTTTCAGCTTTTTTAAAATCAAGGAAAAAATATATACCTTAAACGTGCGTTTCAGACCAGTTCAGTTGAATGGACGCGATGAATGCCCGAGCCGCAAGCGACGACATTATCAGCGTTCAGTCTCCTGAGCCGGTCTTACCAGCCAAGTACATATCACCATTCATAAATACCTTTTAAATTAGAGATTCAAAAGAAGTCAATATATGATGGATTTCCAGCGATTTTGTACTAGAATTTTAATTTCTTTTTTCCCGAGCACCCCGTTCATTTTATGGAATATTCTTTCGGCAATCTGTCCAATTGGCGCGCGTGGCGAGCCGCGTGCACACAGACTCTTGACCTATCAGAATCGATTAAACTTGTCTTGTATTCAGGGGCCAGCGCGTGATTTACGCAGCGGCATTATCACACCTCAGCAGGCATTATCAAATGTTAATATACGGTCAAGTTGCACGTTGTTGGATGGAAGTAATAAATACCAATAAGGTATTTATGAATGTGGCTTAAAACAATAGATATAATTTATCACAAATTCTGAAAAATTCTAAACAAAAACTGCCATGAACTTGTGTGAACGTTGATTTTGTCGGTGTTGCTTTTACTGTAAGGTTCCCAAAATGAAACGTTTGACTTCGCATTATTCAGTTTAAGATGGTCAGTTTATGAATACAGTCTAGAAGAAGTCGTTAATCTGGTGGCGCTCACAGATAGGCGGTACGCGCGCGTTGCATACCCCTTTGACCATACAAGTAGAGTGTTGTAACCATTGATCTCCATCCAATACGTAAGTGTGACGTCACTTCAGTTTAAACCACGCCCACTGCACACGTGCACTGCACATAGGGTTACATGCATTGATCACCGTTTACATCGAACCGTGGAACCGGAAATTAACGCGCAACTTCTGCGATTGTTCAATGAGAGCCTGGCGCGTTTGTGACGAAGTCACTTACGAACCGGATAAAGACGGTTGCGACTCGTTGAATGTACCCGCGCGTCAAGTTCAGGAATGCGCATTTGAGTGTGGCGCCAGATGAGACTGTAGACTAAAACGTATTTGGAAAAGTGGAGGAAAGCAGTTAAGTGACGTTTGCAAAGAACCATTACATGAGTAGGGAGTAGTAAGTGGGCTAGATGCATTCATCGTGGTTACACGCAAGCTCTACTGAATGCTTTCCAGTAGTGTCAAAGGTTTATTTTTTACCCTTTTGGGGGTAATATAAAGATAACCTCTTTGGAATGTAAGTTAATGATGGCAAAGTTCGTTGCCATCCGTCATCGGCTCAAAATGGGGAAGGAACAAACCAACAAACACAGAGGGATAAGACAAAGTTAACGAAATCATTAAATTAAAAATAATGCAATTCTCATGCTCTATGTCAATCAGTCATTTAAAACAATCTCACAGACCTGCCCCCTCCCTTGGAAAAAATGCCGCATCCGTCTCGGAGTTACACGCTACATCGTCTGGAAGATTATGTAAAGTTCGTTGAACTTCGCCTTAATAATGCAGTGCGTCACCAAACGATTTGAATCCTCGGCAGATAACTGACCTTTATACCATGCAGTTTTGCAATGTGCAGAAATGTTTCGAAATTAAGGCAACCATTTCAACTCTTACCAACATTTCATGATTCTTAAAAAGTAGGAAAACACCTAGATAATAAATTTGATAGCATAAATTGACGTTTTCTGTCATTCTCTTCCATTCATTCAGAATAAGCTAAAGGTGTCTTTTCATGTCTGGTGAAAATGCATCGGTGATGAACCGTTTTGCCGCGTTGTGTCTCGAAACAGTCTTAAATTTATGCTCTTGAATTTTATCAAAAGCCACAAACTTCGTAGAGAATCCCTTACGGCGATGATCTTTCCCACCACTCTGTAAAAGAAAATATTTTCTTGAGGGGAAAAAAGAAAGATGTAATGTCGTCCGTTGTATGCGCAATCTAGATTGCAAATGGCGATGTAACAGAGGCAAAAGCATGCCACGTGACTGGTTCTAAGCTTCTCCTCCATCATGAAAGTGAAGAAAGAAGAGAGAGAGATGTAGTAAACGTTAAACTCAAAGTCAAAAGGATAATGAGGTCAGGTGGAATATAATTTCTGTATTAAAGCACGGACTGACGCGTCGTGCTGTGTGTGTTGCGTATACTCCTTCCATTATAAGTGCATGGGTGAGGCTATACCCGCACGCTCAGACCCTGAAAATCTGGCTCCCTATCATATTTTAAAGGACAGTCTGCCAGCAGATCCCACCCCGTGAATTCTTCACAGCAATACTGGGAATCGGAGAGGGTGGGAGATTAAATGGGGATGACTTTACGGCCATAGAAATTCGAAAGGGGGGGGGTGCTGTCACCCAATGACATCAAGGGCTCTGTTCACGATACACATCTAATTCACTCATGCGAAAACACGTCAAACAGCGTCTTTATGGCTTTCAAAAACTGTTCTCCCTTTTCTGAGTGGTAATAAATACAATTTGTTTGTTGGGAAGTCCGAAAAAATCTTCATAATCCGCCTTCATTATTCCTCACCACGAAAAGTGTGAGATGGTTCAATAGAGAATAGACCATCTCCCCAGTCAAAATGTGCCAGGGATATCCAACTCCCCCCCCCCGAGATTATGTCCTTGTTTCAAAGAGCCCATCCCACCAGGTATCGTCTGGACTTTGTGTTGCAGTCTTTACATCATTTAATGGGGCTGTCTGGGAGAGATAATTTTGATCAAGAGAAGCCGAGTACCTTCACGCACATCAGACGTTGGACTCCAACCTTGAGTAACTGGGATAAGGGCGATTGGAAAAGTAGCTTGGTTTAGGGCTCAAGATCCTATGAATAACAAGTCTTAAGTTAATTCTGGGTGCTCATTGATTTGTTAATACTTTTAAACCTTTTAGACATAATACTTAGAATCGGAATAGGTTGGACAGTTGTGCACTTTTCTTCATTGTTTCATAGATTAAAATCAGCTTTTGTTTACTAGAATTAGAATTACAGTTCCATTTTTGTTGTATTTTAACTTTTTGTTACGGATAAAATAGTTTTTCCCGACGGATTTTACATGCATAAATCTTCTGACGTGACCTTCTTAGTGTTCGACTGCATGTGAAATGAGACCCTGTTGGAGCACAGTGTAGCGAGAATGATAAGGCTAGAGTTCCTTTAATGAGAATGCCCGTCTTTGCCGTAAACATGTCATTATTAGTCGTTTTGTTGTCTTTATTGATAGCATATATCGGCATGACCAGGATTGATGTTTTCCTCAACGCAAGTTGAAACGGTTCCAAATATCGCAGATAACTGATTTCGAAGGTCATGCACCAATAGATAAATAAGGTCACAAAGTGCACATAAAATCGTTATGATTGGACTTCCTTTGCAGATGTAAATCTGGATTAAGAAAAAGGTCTTGCATTTTGGTATCTCATGATGGTTTCAAATGAAAAGGTGAGACTTGCACCGTGAGGCCTACTGAGGGCTTTTGGCCAGTTATAGGTTATTTAATCACATGTTTTCTATAATTTCCAGCCGGCCAGTTATGCTATATCGATGGCAATATTCAACATAAGGAAGCTTAAGTCTTGCTCTCCATAAAGTCGGCAAATATTGAAGTCAGTTACTTGACAAAGTTTATGGCTTGATCTTTGGGTCACTTGAAATGAGGCTACCAATTTGATTGACTTTGATAACAATGGGTACCGGTTCATGCCAACAAACTTTTCAGTTATTGAAGCCTCGGCAACCACGGTTCTCGTTTGTTTGGACTAGACCTGCAACTCTTGCACGCTTATCTCCGCCACTAAAACGTGACAGCAATTAAAAATGTCAGCGTCGACTAGACTTTGTAACCGTTGCTGACGATCAAGTGGTCTACTGTAAAGCCATAAACAACTAGCTTGTTTACCCCTCTAGCTTCTTTCGTTCCTTGTGACCGATGTTGTCTTTTTGCTCAAAACGTAAATTTTGAGGCTATTGACACAGTAAAGCCATCATGCGAGGGGAAGCACATCTTTTCTTCAGTGTCGTCTTTCACTGAATCCTGAAGTGTTGTAGGCCAAATTGATTGTTTCACATATTCAAACGATGCACCTTTGCACAGGGTACTTTTTTTTTTCAAAGACGCGTTCTCATCGCACTGTAATATACCCGTAAACGCTACCTCACGAGGTCAGTGTAGTTGACCTTACCACTGGTTATCAATCGAGGAATAGATTAAGCCATTACTTCTTCTTCGAAAGCAGCATAGCTTCCATTTAAACAGCTTTGGGGTTTCTAGAAGATGCTTTTTCAGGAATGTTAAAAGGTATCTCCATCGAACCTACGACATAGCGTCTTTAAGCACGTTCAAACTATTTCGTGAAGACCCCTGGACTCTCTATATATTTACCATGTAACAATGTTTGGAGATCGCGTTTGTCCTAGATCACAGATACATTTTTGACCTATGATTCCTGTAAAAGACACGATGGACGACTTTGAATGGCCTGTGACAGTATAAAAGGGAAATGAAACTCAGGCACTGATCATTGTGGTGTCTTTCGTTTTGTCAAACCGTATAGGCAAGATGGCTTATCAAACCCTTCTCTGGCTTCTCTCCTACCTACCGAGTATCCGTGTATTCCTAGCCTTTACACTGGCCGTATTTTTCATCAAATGGACCTTGGAGCGGTTCTTCTGCTCTAACCTACCCCCAGGTCCCTGGGGCTTACCCGTCCTAAGAGCTAACCTTGGTCTAGGAGCCAACCCGGGCCGATCCCTTCTCGAGATGAGTAAGAAGCACGGTAAGATCTTCAGCCTTCGGATCGGTCCACGACTAACGGTGGTCATCACCGATCCGGATCTGGTGCGAGAGGTCTACGGCAAGACAGCTGAGGCAACCTGTGCAAGGGACACGCACATACTAGATTGGATTGAGATGTCTGGTAAATCCTTCAAGTTGTCCAGATTCTTAATGTTCCTTATCGTTTATCCCGATCTGTGCGTAAATATAACGAAATAACGTCCTGCTGAACGAGAGCAGCATAAAAGGTTAAGATTAAAATGTTCTCATGGATGTGTATGTTTACGCGTGTGCGCATTCTTCACGCGTAAAGACGCCTTTCCATATACGTACATTTTTGGGTGCGTTGCGTACGCAGCACATTCATGCGTTTCACTTTCACGGACACAAAGTCGACTCCATTAACATAACACACGTGTACGTTACGTTTGCGACGTGTTGACGTGCATATGGAACGGTGCCTTATCAGTGCTTGGAAATTCTCTCGTACACGTACGCGCGAAGCTAGTCTTTGCCGAAATGGATTAAATCAAACTACAGAGGGTGCTATATTTATTCCGTTCGTGTCACGGAATAAACTATTGGAAGGTCTTGGAACCAAGACTAGCACGGTACGCACTATAGGTGCTACCCATCTTAGAATCAATCAGCATAGACCTGAAAATGGACTTGACCCAACCTCGTTCACCAGGGGTAAATACGATAGTTGGTTCCCGCCATGCCTTGCGTGATCTTTACCCCTTGTGTTGTAAAATTGAAGTATTCCACCATTTAGGTGACCAACTGTTTGCCTGTCGTTTTCTTTACCTGTCCTTCATTGTACACACCCCTATCTCGGTTTCGCACAATGTTGTTCAAATTTACTCCCACTAGGCTCAATAGTAAGCTGCAGTGGCAGTGACGTCAAACCTCTTCGCCGCCTCATTCTTCGAGCTCTGCGAGACTTTGGTCTGGGGAAAAAAGGTTCGGAAAAAATGATCATGGAGGAAGCCCGTCACCTTTGCCGAGCCTTGGAACAGACAGGCAAAGGAACCTTCTTCGACCCTAGAAACCAGATCCAAATGGCTGTGGCTAACATCATCTGTACCTTCTGTTTCGGCCGAAGGTTCGACTATACATCCTCGGAGCTGCATCAGCTAGTCTCCGGCCTGCAGGCTGTCTCTCACATCTCAGGGCTGAGCATCACCCGGGAGATACCACTCCTCTTCCTCGCTCCCCGCTTCAAAGAATTCCGAGAAGGAGAACTGACCTACCGGCAGATTATAAACGACCTCGTGACTCATCACAAAGAAACATTTGACCCGAGTCACCACCGTGATCTTACCGACAAATTGATTCAGGAGACTTCTAACAAAGATTCTATCTTCTCGTTCGGTGGCGACAGGATTTTTCGGACTTTGATGGACATGTTTGCAGCAGGGGCAGACACTACGTCCTCAGTTCTTCAGTTTGCCCTGTGGCATATGGCGCTGTACCCCAAAATTCAGCAAAAGGTAACAATTTTGTAATTTCTCTCATTTCTTTTGCAACTCCTTTTTCCTACCGTAAAATTGAGCAATATTGAGAAGCCTGTTGTCTGTCGTAGAACTTCCTTTTATGTCAATGATACACATTATTTTAATAAGTTTAAATTTTTCAAAAACAAACCTGGCCCACAAGGCGTACAAATAAGAACAGGGTTTCATTAAGCTTGAGGGGAAGCTATATGGAAGCTGGATCTTAGAATTGTTTGGAAATATCGTCATTTCGAATAGTCAGACCATCGGACGAAGCAGAGTATTCATTATGAAAATTCACAACTACTGTGACCTGGAATGAACCCCGTTTACATATTTCATCCATCACTCCGGCCTCTCTGCCAGTGTTCACGGTGTCTCTCTACATGCGACAGGAATGCGCACGTTTCAAGAAAGAACGCAATGTTTCATCGTTTTAGTCTAGAGTCAACAGTTTTCTTTTTAGGTCCGTAGCGAGATACTGACGGCTATCGGCGCAGATCAGGCCCCGGAGCTATCGGATCGGCCTCGCCTGCCCTACACCCAAGCCACGGTTAACGAGGTCTTGCGACTTTCTCATCCTGTACCCTTGAGCCTGCTGCACCGTACTACGGCACCCCTGGAGTTAGCTGGCTATCACATCCCCAAGGGAACTGAACTGATGACTCCCATCGCCTGTCTGAACATCGATCCCAGAATCTGGAGGGAACCAGACATCTTCAACCCAGAAAGATTCCTCTCCGAAGATGGCAAGACGGTGGTTCAGCCGCCCGGGTTTCTGCCGTTTGGCACGGGTATGTGTGGGAAGTTTTCTCGTGCTCAAGTATCTGCAGTAATCCTATATAATTCCCATCAGTGACAGGCAGAATTTCTACCTTATTGTGTGCAGTGTTCAATTTGTTTTCACCTCATTTTCTTTGATTCGGACAACAGTTTTGACGAAAAACTATCGAGGATTTGCTTTGCCTTGGTGCACTTTTCGATAGTTCCTGTCATTATTTCCTTAAAAATGCTCCAAACTCCGCAACCCTCACCTTCATAACGTGACCAAACATTGAAATCATTTTGTTTTCAAGGTTGTCGGATGTGCCTGGGAGAAACATTAGCCCGCACCGAGTTGTTCCTGTTCTTTGCCGCCATCATGCAACGCTTCATGTTTGACCTTCCACCGGACGCACCCAAGTCTCATTCGGGCTTCTTGGGTTTCTTCTTGTGGTTTCCAGACCAGTTCAAAATTAGTGCCACTCCTAACTTTCAGTCCCAGGGATAATTGTCTGAACAAGGCTATGAGGCATTTCTCTCAACATTTACATGTTTATGTGAAGATAATATTTCGTTGCTAGACAAATACAACCCATATTGAACACAATATCGCTCAATGCACAGGATTTGATAGATGTTAGGTCGTGTTTCGAAAATGTCCCCGAGCGTGCGCAATGCAGAATTTTCGAGCAATGCTTGCCTTGTCTGGTTTCTTAATTTTTTTAACTACCGCATCTAATAGCTTGGATATTTTAGGAGTGAGTATACATTTCAGTCTCGTTCAAGCTTTACAACCTGTGCTCCCGTGCGGTTTCATCATAGCCACTGCAGGATTCTGCGTTAATTGATGACCTTGTGGGGTCGTTCAAATGATAACATGTCACGTATGTTCATGCCCCCCTTAGTTTGCGTGCGTACTGAATCCCACTATAACCAGAAGCCAGTAAAATGGCTCTCGACTCAGACAGGGGACTCTAAAAGTAATCTATCAACATCAAGCTCAGAAAAAGTCGCTTGCCCCTCATTATCATACCGATTTAGTGTTTAACCACTCAAAGTGCATTTTGATAACTTTCACAAGATAAAACCCATTTTTTGCCTATTTTTTGCCGTCTTTGCTTACGTACCTCCAAAGTAACAGAGTCAGAAGTTGGAAGTGAAGCCAACAGTTTAGAGGGGATTTTTCAGTTTTGCCGAGTTTTCCCTGATGTTTCTCTACTTATGAATAGTGAGGAAAGGAATATCATGAACGCCCCAATTTGAAAGTATCATGCAAGAAGGAAACTGTATGAAAGTTTTGTCCATGTGCACTAACGCATAATACACACTTTTTTTCCAACAAATCAGACACTCATGTCGCATCTCTTTCTAGCTATAAACAGCCCTGAGTTAAAGGCCAGATTAATGTGACCATGTTGCTAGTAATGCCCGAACTGATATGACACAATGTTGAATTACTGCATAATAGATTCTTTTAAAATGAAAAAGCTTGCGGCACTTTAATCCGGGTAATGACTGCAAAGGTAACTGACATATACAACACAAATATCATTTTAAATATAGCTGTGATTTATCCTAAATTGATACACATTGTGCTTCAAACAAAAACGATGTAAAAAAGGTACACAAATAGAACTTTTAATACACTTTAATAATAAGACAATATCGGGTTAAATGTCGCTGGCGAGGCTGTAGATTATGACCATTTGTAAGTAAAGTTGGATGTGGAATCTGTAATAACAACAGTCTCCATTTCAGCCGTTTCTTTCCCATCGCCGGCATCATACTGCCGAAAGAGGTCCATGCAGTTTATCAAAATAAATGCTCCAACACAGAGTGTATCTTACTTAATGATGTGCCGATCATGTTAGCACAGTGGCTTATACAAGTAATTGATTTTTCTCTGTACATGAAAATAAAAATCTGTGTACTATGAAGATGCTGAAATGTGCATTTGTTTAACATGTGTTATAAATGCCATGCGTTATTTATTAATATACTGGTTTTTTACCTATTGCCATATTTATTTATCCACCTGTCCAATTTTTGCTGGACAACTAATAAATTTGGAAATTTAAAATTTCCATTGTGGCTTTTTGCAACCCCTTCGTGATTACTCCAACTAGGCCAATTGAAATCAATCAATCAATCAATCAATGCAATCAATCAATCAATGCAATCAATCATCTTTTAAAAACTTTTTGTGCCTTCATTGGACACCACTTAGTAGTAATACGAGTCAAGTTTACTGTTGGCAAGATAAGACAGCTACAACCCAAGGCAAGCGGACGTAGCTGGCAAGCAAAGGACTCTGTACTTAAACTTCCGAACGACCTTGTTCCTTGAGTGTAAACCTCTGTGCAGTAGGAGAAAAGCACGCCATATGTTGTCTGTATTGCGTGGGTAGGGACCACAGGCATATCGTGCTTTGGCGCAGCGCCTGACTAAAATGAAACTATGGGCAAACCCCTCGGTGTAAGGAATTTACGCACAGTTGAAAATTCCAACCATAAAATTCTATGAAGCCATTTTTCAATTGTACAAAAATCGTCTGTTTACTTAATCTGGCACTTAGGGATTCGAAACAATGCCGTTGCAACATTTCGGGAAAGAAGAGATAGCAGTACTGTAGAGCAAAAAATGTGAACGTATTTTAGAAGCACATGTAAAGGAATGCGGGCAATGTAAGTGCGTTGCGCGTAATGCGCACTGGACGCGCTGCCATCCGTCGTTTCGCCCTCTGTTTGCCCATACTTTTTAAAATCACGGTTATACTCGCAAGACTGGTGGTCTATGCGTTTATATGGCCGTGTCCGAATCACTGGGCTTCGGCCAGAAATTACACACGAGTATATGGAAGTGGCCACGGCCAGTTCCCATGAAGTCGTGTGTAAATTCCGGTTGTAGGCAAGTGTTTCCGGCACGGCCTTACGTCTGTGGTTTGGACACATGGAGTATTCGTATTCGATATATACGCGCACCGACATTACAACAGGTGAGTGTGCGTTCTGTGACCCTTTAGCTTTCGGAGAGGATATACAGAGGAAGTACACTCACGTATCTTTCGATGTTTCACATTTCTACTGCTCAGGCAGGAAGTCTACTGGTCAGTAACTTTAGTTACAAAAACCAGCTTCAAGCTTCAACGGTTTTCATTATAAATGTTGTATAATATTTCAAAAGGAAGGGAAAATTTGGATCAACAAGAAAGATTCACTAAACTCCCCTTTTCCTTGCCGGGAGTGATTGAACAATCCCCTAGGCCTATAGTAGTCTAATTCTTTGTATAGCTATTTCTAGCAGGACTAGCCTGAAGTATACTCCACCTGCTAGCCGAAACCAGAGTTACTGCTTAACCCAACCCTTGAACGTTCAACTGGAGCAAAAGTTTGAACAATTTTACAGCAAAAGTCCGAATTCAGAAAAGGCCGTTTTCTTTCTACAAAAGAAATAACAGATGGTGTGTCTTTTTTGTGCTGTCGTGTCTTCAAACAAAAACTTTACTTCTGGCAAAATAGCAAAGACACACTTACTTTGTGTTATGGATAAATTCACTTAAGTTCGTTTGTACTGTCAGTCTTTTTCAGTGTGGATTTCTTGGAAGGGAAGGGCGACCCTTCCGGTGAAGCTGTGTTCTCCGGGGTTCTTGAAAGACTTGCATTGTCTTGCCGCGTGAGTTTGAAAATCTTGCCGAGTTTCTCTCGTCGCGAAGACCACTTGTTGCTGGTGGATGCTGGGTCTCGGAACAGTTCGTTGTCGGACTCGTCGGCGCGGTCAAAGGCCTTGCATCGGCATTGCAACATGAGGAGAACACGCACGCGGAACTGACGCAGTCGGAACGCATACACAAACGGGTTAACGCAGCAGTTCGCGAATCCCAAGATGACTGTGAAGTGGTACCAACCGCCATTGAAATCCAGAGGACCGCCCAGATTGAATTGGACAAACGTAGTTTGGTTTGGAGTCCAGCAGATGACGAAGAGGATAAAGAGAATCAGTAGGGTCATTGTTATGTCTCTACGGACGTGCTTTTTGATTGGCTTGAACACAGAACCGGATCTCTCTGGTTTAACCTTGACAGTAGGTGTCCTGCACGCCAGTTCCTTCTTTCTTAAGGTTATGACAATGGAAACGAAGCACACACCCATGACACAGATCGGGGTAATTAATTCCCACAGGAAGAGTAATACACCAAAGAAAGCTTGGCCGAAGTCATCCCAGGATTTAATGGTCACGCATGTACCGTTAACCACGGTGTACCCCCAAAGAGGCTGGCCCCATTGCATGACGGGGCAAAACAGCCATACGATCACCACAAATATCTTGGTGTTGCGTCGAGTAAATCGCTTAGCGTACGTTAACGGGTGTATAACGGCTATATAACGCTCTAGCGAGATCAATGTCAGATTGAACGTGGAGATGGCGAAAAAGTAAAAGATGACGAATCGAGTCCACCAGAATCGACACAACCACTCTCCGGTACCACCAGTAGTCGGCAACCGGTGTCGATACACACGGGTGATGCCGAATATTATTATCACGATACTCGATACCAGGTCAGCCAAGGCTTGCGTGAAGATGAGCAGACTGACCTGATTCTTTTTCGACTTGATTGTGTTAAACACGATGCATGCAACTAGGTTACCCACAAGACCGAAGGAACCAATGATACAGTAGACAGCGACTCCAAACTTGGCGCTGGGGGATAATTCATCCTCGGAAGGGCCTTCAGTAATCGAAGATTTTGTAGAAGTGTAGAGAGTGTCTTCCATCGCAGCTGTTGTATTTTCCATTTCAGTTGATGTAGTCTCGATACTGTCAGGCCAGGGCTTCTCTTAAGATGGGTAATGGTGAGCTCTGTGTATAACAACGGTGCTGGAAAGAATACAAGAAAGCAATCAATGGCATGAGTCCTCCGACAAAAAGGTTTGAGCGGTGTCGGTTCCCATAGCCTCCCTCATGAATAATTCCATTGGACAAGCAGTCCGTGCAAAGAATTCATATTGGTTCATAACGCAGTCACTGCTGCCTAGTGATATTTACTGCTTTGAAAAGAAAGAAGCAATACATATACCACTAATGATTTTAGGGTAATTGATGGTTTAGTCAGTGCTCTTCTACGGAAGTGTAAGGTAGACAAGATAAAACGTGCATTTCCATAAAAACGTTTAAATCACATTTGTAACTTAGCCTAAGTGCTCATGTCTCACGTAAGCCATAATGTTGACTTGTAATTCATTTTATGACTTAAATGTTGCAATAATATATTACTTTGGACGTAACAATTTCCATCATGTACCTTTAATACCTCCTTACTCTTCACAACAATGGCCGGAAATAAAGGGATGGGCCTTATTCTCAAGGGAGCCATTTCGATCTTGTTAGTAATAATAATGACGATTTATAGAGCGTACATATCCACCAAGGTGCTCAAGGCGCTAATACGTTGACATTAATAATAATATTAATCCTTAAATGCCTCATTGAAGAGATGAGTCTTCAGATCCTTCTTAAACTGCAGGAGAGAAGAGGAAGATCGTAACCATGTCGGTAGGTTGTTCCAAAGACAAGGTGCAGCACATGAAAAAGGGCGATCTCCCCATGAGTGAAAGGACTGGATTCTCTAAGAAGATTCATATTACTGGATTGAAGTCTACGTGTGGGATTGTAATGTTGTAATAAGTCTTATGCTGGAGCGAGACTGGAGTGATGTAGAGACAAATAAGAGCATCTTGTTCCTGATTCTGTTCCCTTAATCCAATTTATAATTTGTAAACTTTTGATTTGGATGATATCAGATATTTTTTATTGATATGCATTCAAAGTCTCCCTTTCAACCATTTCTTGTTCAAAATCTGGCTTGAAGAAAACGTTTAATTACAGTTTTTAATTACTCATCAGGCTAGACAGGTACTAAATTGATATGTAATTTCACATATAACAGTGATTGCTTTCTTTTCTATTCTCAAGTTTTAAAACTGAATATTCCATCTCGCTTTCAATTTAAGTACGGACGATCATAAATAAGTCTACTTCATAGTCAAGAATTCTGTCAGATAAAATATTTTAAAGAAACTTACAGGTAATGCGACAACGCCTTTTCTCCATTGTGGAACTATTAAACCTTTATGTAATATTCACCGCGTCATATTTCTAAACAACATAGATTTTTTGCACTCTTGTTTGTTGAGAGCTCATCTACACTTTGAAAATATCGAAAACCTCATCAACATTGGAAGTTTCCAGGAGTATATTCCTGTTATTTTGGGCATCACTATTTGAACAAAAATACAAAATGTATGAAAAGCAATCGAAACTTTGCTCAATGTATCGGCATGTTCAGCCTAAAAAGAAAACAAGGAAAAGGAATTAGAATATTGAAATCTTATCTCAAGGAATATGATCTCCACTTCCTTGAACGTGGTTTGAGCCGTTGTTTTAATCTCACTTGAAACAAAATACGAGAGGTCATTGACTGTTGCAGCGAAGATTAAGTTGCTGTTATCTCTTTATAAAATATTCTTTGCGCAAATTGTACGCTTTCAGGAGTACGGAAACGACTTTCACTTGATACGGTTCCTTCAAAATTAACCCTAATGTTTAAACTGAAATATGACGGCTTGTGTTTTGTTTATGTTGAAACGCAAGTTGCGGTGCAATGTTTTAAGTTTTGTGTGTGGGTGTGTTAAAGTGTAAATTTCTCAAGTGAATTTAAGTTCAATAGGCCTAATGAAGTTTTTCCACTAGCTTTCTGTGTAGCTCATAGAGTGAACTACGCGCGCATTTTAAAAGAATTTTTCTCGACGATATTGTCAACAGTGCCAGCTACACGAGCTACAAGTTGAATTGTGTAGTTAACTGAAGCTAAGCCAGCAATGAAACAAAATTATGGCTGCAGTATTTCAAGAAACAAATAAGTTTACATCACAGAAATAGCGGTGCGGATATTGTTCCTCTGGAGGACAATATTTTGCCCTTGCATTATGTTGCACAGGCATTGTCACCCTGTATTTCAATGACATATCTCAACCTACCATATTCTTTGCTGAAGGCTAACTTTACTGGAGTGTCTTTCACAAGTGTTATGAGTCAACGCAACTTTGTTGGAACATAACGGATATCATTTGATTACGTGGATAAAGGATGGATATAGAGCCAGTCTACCCTTGTTATGGAGAAGATGATGCACATATGGCATGAAAACCAATGTTGTATATTATGCTAGTGAAACGTTTCTTTATCGTAAATGGGTTTCCATTATTATGTCGACTCATCGTGGCCAATGAAACAATGAAAGTCTATAGGCTTCGAGTTAATTGCATTGGGCTCTGAATTGACGAGTTCAAAAAGTCGGTACATGGACATGTACTTGGAATTACGATAGATTGATTAATCCTTAACAGCCGTTTACAGTTTAAAAATAAATCGCCAACACGTGAATGTTTGCGTTATTCAAGAATATTTTCATATACAAACCACGCAAATTTCCTAGGCTTTTCTGCGATTGCAATCAACATCGCCCCAACAAACAAACCTGCGGGAGCATTAACAAAATAGACTTACCCCTTTGAACTCTGAGAACCTCACATTCGCGAAATCCACCGTGACGCTTTCAGGGAGTGAGTTCAACACGAACAATGGCCGCGGCCGCGCATTCGACCGATTGTACAGCACTTGCCGTGGTAGCAGTCACACTGAAGCACTACTTCTAAATTTATAGCACTTGAACAGCTTTATACGTCGGTTACCACCAGGAAGTAGTGTGCATATGCAGGAAGTAAAGAGGTCTACCACAAGAATGTCCGTGGTGTTCAGATACAAAATGGAATATCCACAAAGGAATAGCGTGTATATATACTAGAAGGTCATGTTTGAGAATTTGTTCAGGTACCCCAGTGAAAGTATCATGTTTGGTTACAAAACAGCAAACATATAATGTGTACCTTTACTCTGACTTCTGTATGATTGCACGACGCTGTAGGAAACGTGCCAGGTTTGGCTGAAAACTGACCATTTACAGGTTAATTCCGGCAGCTTATACTGACGGTCAGGGACCCCATGAGGTATCCCGTGTCAGACACGATGTGCACGTACGTACCAAGAACACGGCACGTACAAGGTAATAGATAAACTGTTCAGGACAATCGATCCATTCTACACGGCGGAAAAGCGGCATTTGCATGCATACAGTATTGTGTATATCAATACTTAATCTCAGCATTACATAAATTGGGTTTGGAGGGGCAGATCCAGGGTTTTTCAAAAGGGGGGCGTGAACTAAAAGTCTTAGGGTCGCCGTCGTAATTAGGGAGTTTGAGTAAGTGCCGGAAGAAGAAGTGTTGTTTTTTTTTGTTTTTTGTTTTTTTATTTTTACTTCTTTTTCACATTTATGGGGCTGGGCTCTAAATCAACACCTTTATTTATAGATTAGTTCGATTGTCATGTGAATAATTCTTCTCGACCACGGGATCCAATTCCCCTCTCAAGTGGTTTGATTGAGTATATATTCTCCATCAAACAGTTAACAAATTAATTCACTTTCCTTTCTCTTATATGATAGAGGGTAAATTAAGTCGTCTATTAAAAGCTCACATTTTTAGAACTAAATCAGAAAAAGAAACTAAGAAATCATTTCAGACCCATTCCAAGTTTTTTATGTTTTGTGGAGAATTTGGTCTGTCATATGTCAGTACGTGTATAAAGCTCGCACGAATGGATAAAATGATTTTTGCGTTGCTATATTCCCATAAATTACTATTTCAGTCCCACGAAATAATATTTCAGTCCCACGAAATACTTTTCATTCCCACGAAATACTTTTCATTCCCACGAAATACTTTTCATTCCCACAAACTACCATTCCATTCTCACAAAATACTACTGGTGTTATTATTACCGAAAATGGGTCACTTGGGAGACATTCCCACAGGAACGTGCACAAAATTTTTCAAACTTTACTGTCCCATAATTCAATATTCCCTGATCCGATCTTAACCAAACTTTGCATGTTTTCCTTTCAGATCCTAATCTATCATCTCTCAAAATGTGGACGTAAAACTTTTCCTCCTTTTGGTAGTTGAAGCATTAGGGAGACATTGAAATGTCTCCCAAATGACTGATGTCTCCCTGATGTTGAAAAATTTACCGCAGAATGTCTCCCAAGTGACCTATTTGGAAGTATTCCATTTCCCACGAATTACTGGAGCAACTTTCTCTAAGTGAGTTATCTTACCTATTTGCGTGCACATATTGTTACTGTGTATAGTAATTAGTGGAAACGAAATTTTGCGAAGCAAATTGTGATTCGTGGTAACGACATAGCACAAACCTTCCGCCATGTTCTATCCCAGTATCACATAACATTTTTTCTCCTAAGCATCTTGCATTATCTCTGAAGCCACACTAAGACAGCCAGACGTAGTGATAACGTGTGTAATTTGTGTCATAAATAACTACATTTTCAAGTATCGGCAAGGTAAAAGTCAATGCTCATTTTATGATGTTTAAATAAAATGAGGTTGTGGTTCGTCAACTTACCCAGAGTTGCACCTATTGCAAAAAAAGTCTTTTAATGATTTTGAAATTTAAAAGGAAACATCCGTCAGTTTCATACATGTGTTGCTCACAGTCCTGACGTATAGTCAGTCACTAATAAAATAGAAGTCAGAGTATTTTATTTGCATAAGTAAACATATTTCAAAAGGGATTTTTCGACATCGTCCTACACGTGTCTGTCTTAAAGCCATATCTCCCTGTGGGAACTTAAGTAGAGAGCAAAGACACTGTCAACATGAAAAGCTGAACACCAAATAAATAACATTACAAAGAACAGCTCTTACAGTTATAAAGATAACTTGAGCCACAATACTGCGCGTGATGTGACGAGATGTCGCGACTAATTTAACATTGCAAATTGGCTTTCGCATTTTCCAATGAATGCTGGCTATTGAGGCTATATCTTTAAGGCATGGCAGTCGCAATGACACGAACAGCGTCATGATTATATAGGTACAGAGAGAGTAATAGATGAGTACGCTGATGAATACGTTAAACTTCATATTAAGAGCTATAGCCTGATTGCACTATCGGTTGATCCTGTATGAAACCATGGAGCTTTTAATAGCTCTATGATGAAACCTGTCTATTCAGTCTGCCGCCATCGGTCGATCACCATTAGTTTCTAACTCATTGCCGTGAGAGGTTGATATGAAAAGGGAAGTAGAAACATGGTAGTAAATCGGGGATTTCGCTCAGGAGCGACCGTCGTTAGTTAGCAATACACGACGACAGGGTGGGACAGCGAACATCAACCAATCGTGACAATCAATATAACAACACCTTTTCGTCAAAGTTCTCTTACTTACTTTGAATGACTGCAATATGCCACGGGCCTGGATTTCATGCTCGATTGCTGGACACGAATCTTCGTGATCTAAATTCAGACAGCAGAGATCGTGTCTGGCCTAACATGCATAAATTGCCATGTTAATTAGAAATTCTAGGAATCAATAAACAAAGCCTTCCCCACATATCCTGTTGGGCCCAAAACACACACGTGGTTTTATCATCCAGACTTATCAAAGAAAAAAGCTGTCATCTGAACGATAAAGCTATAAATGCTACAAACATGGCTGAAATTATATCACTGCACCCCGTCATTGACAACTTCATTGCCTGTCCGATAGTGCGTTCCAAAGGTCACTCATCATACTTCACAGGAAGTTAGCTGCCTGCTTACCTGCTGATTTCATTCGTTATCTTTAGTCGCATACGTGACAAAGTGCAGAAGAGGTATGTGATGTAATCGTTGAATGGATATAGAAGTTTTCACCTCTTTACAACATTCGCTTGCAAACCCATGATGTTGGAAGATTTGTAATTTGCAGGCAGTTGAAAAGTGGTGCGAGAATTTTGTTTCCCACCAGTGCCCCTTTTTAGGTGTGCTGACCATTAATTAACCGTAAAATATGGAAACAGTGGCTCAGTTCATATATCCACGAAACAATTTCCTTAACACTTTCCTTGATTAATAAATCAACTTCAAAACCAAGGATATCAGTCGGTGTTCCGTTCTAAAATTTCAACACCGAATACGATTTTCGAATTTTAGTTAGACCTCATAGTCTCTGAAACACAGATTCCCGCATTGCTTGATATTATTCAGTGGAAACGTCTAGCTGACGTCTGCCAAACAGAGTTGAAGTGCAGAAATATCCCAATAAAAGAACGGTAAACACGAAGTGTGGACATTTCCTCGTTGGGATAGGCCACCAGTGTACGAGGCCGCTTCCTCAGCCAAAGTAATTAAGAGCCCTCAGCGGTGATAGTCAAATCCTTTGATTTTCACTGATGGCAATCGTTCACAACATGATATTACTCCGTCGTTTTCTCAAGACATACAGCTGAATGTCATTAACAAGAGCAACATTTTCCTTATGACAGAATTTTGTAGGCCCCAATCCGTCGTTCTTCATGTTTTCATTTCTGATAATAAAAGGTTCCTATTACAACAAGGTAATCTGTCCCGTAAAGTTGGTGAGGTTTGACTGAACATGAGACATTTACGACTTGTGACGAATGTCTAAGGCATTATACCCTTAAAGTTATGACTCTAATATAAAATACATGTATAGCAGGATGTCCAAGTATATCCCTGTTTAAAGCACAGCAAGGCGGCATAACAAATACAGTATTTAAATATCAACAAAGTTGTTACATGTTAAAGATTTGGATTCCGTGTTTGCAAATGACACGTCAGTTCGTTCTAGGGTTGCATTCTCAGTTCATGAACTTTGGAAAAAGTCAGCAAACCTGTCAACGTGTACTAGTTCCAAAACCTTGGACAAATTACCAAACGATCAATAACTCCGATGCTTCTACTTATTAATTCAGGTAGAAAGCTATTATGATCGAGTCTTGCAGTATTTAGGGGCGTGTGTAAGATTTGTTTGGTGAGGGGTACCTTAGACCCCAAGTTACCCCCAAATAGCTTATGCCAAAGACCCCCCCCCCGGTTGCGTCACAAGCCCGGGGGATTCAGTTGTATAAACTTGTTATTCTATCCGCCTTTAGCAGAAGCACCCCTTATTGGTATTGATGACACTTCCTGCCAAACTGCCCTATCTGCCATGGAAAGTTGTATTTTGGACATTATAAATTGGATGCTGCAACTTAAGACAGGCTAATGGTCAATGACGCCAAGTGTGAATTCCTGATTACTGGAACCAGGTAACAGTTGCAGAAAATAAATATTTCCAACGTCACAGTGGGCGACTCTGTAATCCATCCACGTGCATCAGTGATCATGTTTGATTCAGAAATGACAATGGACACCCACATCACTAAGGCTTGTTGTGTAGCATTTTTCCACTTTCCCAATCTTAGGCGCATCAGTAAATTCCTCTCTCACGATTCGCTTTCAGTGTTGATTGAGGCATTTGTGACGAGCCGTCTGGGCTATTGTAATAGTCTTTTGTATGGTTTGTCAGCAGCACAAAATAATGAGATTACAGCAAGTCCAGAATGCTGCAGCTAGACTACTTACGAATACACTCAAGTTTCAACGCGTAGGCCTAACACCAATACTGTATCATCTTCACGTGGTAACAGGGATTTTGCAATGGCTGCTTCTAAATTATTGAATGCCTTGTCGTGGCACATACAGTGCAAGCAGAGCCTTGCCGTTTTCAAATGTAAAGTAAACGTTACTTTAATAATATTGCATTTGCACAGTGATATTGAACTGCAAGATTCGTGATTTTGTTAGTTTTATTTAGTCGGGTTATTATTACTTTTAATTTTAATGTAGGTTTAGCTGTGACTCGTTATTTTTAGTTTCACCGTGTCAGGTATAATTATTTTTTTATTTTTTGAAAATACTTTTTTATCGTAGGTAGGGATAGCGGCATGTGTCCTCGGGGAAAGATCGAGT